CTCTTGGAAATGAAAACAGGAAAAAACTTCCCCTACCAAAAAGAGAGTATAGCTTTCATTAAATACAGAAAATGTACAAGAAAGCATAGCAGAGTAGTTAATAGGAAACAAAGTCTAAGGACACAAAACAAGGTGTAAAATATAAACATAAAGCAAAATGACCTATAAAAGAACATAAAATAAAAGTGAAGCCAATATAGTCCATTAAAAAGGAGCTTGAAAAATATATTGGTTTCAAGAAAAAAAATAACTAGCTCATGGCAAAACAAAAGCAAGACTCACAAACCATAAACCTTTGACTGCTTTTCTTGACCCTTTGGTGTCTTCTTTTTTTTTGTCAGCAGAAGCACTCCAAAGGACAGACCCTGATGGACATGGTGTGCGAGCACCTCAACTTGTTGGAGAAGGACTACTTCGGCCTGACCTTTGCCGACACAGACACCCAGAAGGTCAGTGGATTTAATACCAAAACAATCTCTTGGGATATATCAGGGTACAGATTCATTGCTCTGTTAACAATCAGTATTCCTCTCGCCTATACCTTGTTCAACTCTCCTGGGTGCACCATCCATCAAAGATGAATAAAATGAGGAATTTTCAAAACTCATTCCCGCCTGCATAAAAATGGCCCTTGAATGAGCTTTGCAATTGAAGAAAAAAATAAAAGGCCTAATTTTCTCTTTGCAATAGGACTGTGTATATCAAATGTAGTTATAGACATTTTTCTGAGAGGGAAAGCTGCTCTGCTGGAAGAAATCATTTAATGGAATGAATCAAACCTCAATGGTCTAAGGCTAATGAATGAAAATGGAGAACTTTGAAGAACTGATGCGACAGGTTGGCTCAAAATGACCACTTCTGGAAGTTTTTGTTATATATGTAGCAATGTGACTTTAGACTTGGAAGCTAATAAGCTAAAGCAATATTTAAGAACAACTACAATCTATTTTATTTTGGTGTGTACCAATATTGAGAACTTATACAACGAGGAAAATAAACATTTGAACAGCCTGCTATATACAAAAAATTGTTTAAAAAGACATATGTTGTGATTTCTGGATTTTTTTATTTTATTTTTTTTAGATTATGTTTCACTGTGGACATGCACCTATGATGACAATGTCAGACTCCTCCATGATTTCTTACTGGGTGAACTTGCAAAATAGCAGGGTGTTCAAATACTTATTTTCCTCACTGTATATGTAAATAAAAAAAAAAGAAAGTTTGCAGATATCCAATTAGCCCATAGTTTTTAGAACATGACATTTGTTGTGTTCTTCAGACATTCAGTTTAGCTAAATGTTAATTACTTATATCTGGGAGTCAGTTAAGAACAGCAAAACAATCAACTGCATACCCTCTGAATGATGTTTGTTACTGGTTATGAAAGTGAGCTCAGTTTTGACTCCTGTCTCTGCTTTTGTTTCCGTAGCTGCCAGTAAAAAAATAATGCTTTAATTTTATTGACTTGAGTTGGCAAAGATGCTTTGGTAGCAGGAAGGAGTTTTAGAGAGAAGAGAAAACAGTTTGAACAGCAAGTCAGATGGACCCTGAGTTCTAGCTCTAGCTTTTTTTTTTATGAAACAATTAAACTAATGCAAACTGAAATTGGTTTTATCTAAGTGATAAAAGGCCATACTTGCAGATGTTTACCATCTAAGCATCTGCAACAGAAAGCTGTTTCTTTCAAAACTGTTTTCTCAACCAAATAATATCTGAAGCTGCATTGGTTGATATCAGTACCAACCCATTTGATATACTGTGTCTCTGCTCTGCCAGCATGACTAAATTAAATATGTTATATAATCATGTGTAACAATGAGTTTTCCTGCAGGATGCATTTAAACACCACACTCTGTATTGATTGAGTTTGACGTAGGCTTAAGTGATCAGCTGCAGTTGGGTGTGGTTCATTTTCAATTAAGGTCCAACTATTTTCACTTGGTTTTACTTGGTGTAGGGGTTGAAGTAGTTGGTTTAACCCAATTTAACCCAGTGCAGAGTGCTGTCTTCAACCGCAAATTAGACCTCAAACTGTTAAACTTCCAACTCTACCCTCCACACATCGAGTGTCTTTAAGATACTCTGTGAGGTAATATACCTTTGAGGTTGGACACATTTTTTTTCAAACCATTTCTTCCACAATTCCTTTGTTTCTGTAGTGAGGTTTCTGCTCCTCCTGTTTTCCTGCATGACCCTTCTGTCAGCCCGTTAATAATTTTGATATTTCCACACATCTCTTTGTGATCCTTGCTTTTACATAATAAAGATATGAGGGTAATTATGATATATTCGCTTGTGTGATGCCACTCTGGTGGGTCCTGACTGTCAGCTCTCCCATTAGCTCCTTGTTTGATGTTGGTTTTGATCTGTAGGAGGCTCCCTTCAGGCAGGTTCGTGATTGCATGGCCCGATACACTGAAACATTATGGCTTTTGAAGTCTGGAAAGATGACAAGACTGTGTCCCTTTTAACACCTTGAGCATGTCCTCTCTCTCCCTAATCAGCCTGCACAAGCTGTGTCAGCTGATCAGTTGTCCCTTGATGTTTACACGTTTGTTGGAGCATGATCTTAGATTTATTTTACATGTTTAAAAGATCAATAGTACTGAACTGGAGATGTTTCTCCTTCCTCTTTTGCAGCTAAAGATTTGGCTGACATTTATAGATTTGGTGTCATCAAAGATGGGCTTATCAGAGCACAGCTGCTGCCCTCTTTCTGAGGTCTCTCCTGATAGGTAGACCAAGCAGGGCCTTTCTCTATCTTTGTTGGAGGAATGAGAATTGAATCTTTGCTCTTCAGGAGAATATTTTTTCCCAAATGGCTGCTTAAAAATGAATTTGGAAACATAGATTAAAGCATTTAATTGTTAGTTATTAAAGATTATTTTGCTTTTATGCAGAGATAAAACAATTAGCAAAAGGCATTTTGCTAAGATATAGTCTTTGCCCTCTGCCAGTTGGTCTCCGGACTAGATGTTACACTATTAACATGCAGCTTTAACCCTGACTGATGTGGAACGTGCTGACATAAGATCTGTCAGCGGTAGCAAGCAGCTGCTATGTAGCGTTCAGCGTTCGAGAGATTACTGTCAGCTTTTGCACCACAGGCGGCTCAGAACCTTGTTGCTCTCAGCAAACATGGGTGTTAGCACACGGAGCAAAAATAACAAATGAATTAAAACCCGCTCATCTTTCTTGGTTGTTTGCTTTTTGATTACTTATGGGCTCTTCATGATCTTTTCTCTGTGTTAAAAAGATGTTGCATGATTTTATTCCTTGGTGATTAGTTTCTGGATTTAAAAAAAGCTGCATTTTTTTTGTTCCACCTCTGCCCCCTGCGCCTGAACACAGATTCAAAATAACGAGAAAATAATGAGTTATGCTGCAAATTTACTGCTAGAGAAATTTAATCAGGAAAGAAATAAACTTGGATCTTTCAAAGTACCGTAGGTTTCTGTCATGAAGTTTTTATTATACCCAGACTACATACCTTTAAAAAAAAAAAAAAAAAGATAGCTATAAACTAACAGCAAATTGAAGACCAACGTAGACTTATAAGGGTTTAAATCAGCTTCCGTCTTTGAAATGTTACCACAGTTTAGGTTAAAACAACTAAGAAAAATAAAATTTGTCATCATAATTCTGTTGGTTTTTTATTCATATAGAGAGTGGGTATTCGTAACACAGGGGACACAAGGAAGAGGCAGTTCACCTACAGTGATTATCCTCCGTGAAACTGACGCAATACATGTAAAGTGATAAAATTGAATAATGGAGTTAGAAAAAATATCATAGTAATTGAAGTAATTAAAAATATCATAGTAATTGAAGTAATTGTTTTCTTTTTATATTTTTTATTGTGATTGTTTCAAACTTAGGATGTCCTGATCAAGACTTTTCCACCTGATATGAGTTATTTCCGAAAATGCATTTGCAATACTGAGTTTTAGTATAATACTTCTTCAAAGTAAATGTGTTGGATTTGCTTTAAAACACACATTTTACAGCCATCATCTACATTTTGCCCTGCATATATGGCATCCTGTTCACTATGGTATCAAGGGTTCTGAACTAGCAATTGATATTTTGTCGCTAAAATTAACTCACATCTTGCTCCCACTGATTGAGCTTTTATTGTGTTGCAGTTTGATGCAGTATTGGGATCCTTTTAGAATGTTTGTCCCTAATTTAAAATGGCATATTTGACATATTGGCATCCACATTGGTACTGACCAATTCAATACAAACCTGAGTCAGTAATGTTGCATTTAATAAAATACAATAATACTATAAATGTGTATATTCCCCTCTTGCTGCTGTTTGTGTGTGTATTTCAGTTGGGGTAAAGAAGGGGTTTGGTAAGTGGTATTACTTGGGCAATGTGATAGCGTGACAGTATGTTTAAATGACGCACAGAGGCAATACAAGATGTGTGGTCAGTTTTTATGGTGCCGTATAAGGATATGGAACTCACACAGAGTAAATGGTTTTGTTAAATGACTTAAAAATACTATTATTATCAGACATATGATGGTTGTTTTGATTTTCACATCGGCTTATAATAATATACGTGTGATAATAATGTCAATATGAATTATTAATTATTCAGGATCACACATTTCAATGCAATTCCATAAAAGGCTATGCAACACAATAGACATTTTTAATCACAGAGGCACTCGGTTTTTGTCACATTAGATTTTACAAAATTTAGACACTGATGCTGTCTAAAGTATTTACTGCCTGAAAAGCTTTACTAAATGAAATTTTGTTTTGTATACACAGAGTCTTTACAAACTGACAATAAAGTTATCAAAGTCTAAGCCTATTTTTTTGCTTTATAATCTGCTTAAAATGTGTTTACCATGGAAGAGTTACAGCTTGTGTAAAGAGCCATGTTTGTGAGAAGAGTTAAGCTTGTAGTAATTCAAATGTTAAATCAAAATTAAATTTGGTAAATTTGGTTGAAAGAAAGATGTAAAAATAGATTTTTATAAAAAAAAATATATATATAATAATAGTTGTTAAAACCTAACATAGTCCTGTTACAAATATAGATCCTTGATAAAACTAAAAAAAAACTAAAACCTTCATTTAAATATGGGAATTTAAAAAGGTTAATAAAGTTGAATGAATTTCTAAAAAAAAAAAAAAAGTAGATGTTGATGTTTGTTTTTTGTGAGGTTTGAGATTTAAAGTAATCTTTTTATGTTTACTAGAGTGAATAAATAAGAGAACATCTCATTAAATTCAATTAAATGAATCAACATATAGTTGAGACAAGCTCTTAAAGCCCTAATGTGATGCCTGCGACTTGCTTTGCTTTGGTTAGCTCTGGGGAATCTCTTCTGTTCCTGTCATAGGCTTTGTACCGCCATGTAATCATAACTTTAAATACAAATTACACACTTAAAGAGAAGAGACAGCTCTCTGCCTCTGAGCTTATACCAAACAAGACAGTCAGCACAACAACACACATATCTACTAACACAGCATATATACGGCTGAACCAAAGGGGGTCTGCAGGCATAAAAAAACAATGCTTTCCTCACAAGGAATTCTCATTTATTCCAACAAACCTTGAAGATTGCATCCTTCTTAATCTTGAGCTGTCTTAAATGAGGATTATTAGATGTTATTATTTAAGGGGAGTGGCGGCCTAGTGGTTAGGGCATTGGAATCTGGAGGTTCTGAGTTTGAGCTCCTCTCTCACAGACTGCCACTCTGGGTCCCTGAGCAAGACCCTTAACCCTGCATTGCTCCCCAAGGGGATGTGAATTTTGTTGCTCTGTACTAGTGACAATAAAAGCTGGGGAAAAAAGAATGGATTGTTCAGTTTATAAAGCGCTGAATTTCTAAATAACAAAGGATTTGTTTAAATCATCTTTATCTCTAAATTACCACATCACCGCTTGATGCCTTTTTTCTCCTCACTAATAGCTTTGGTTTTTGTGTTACTAACAAATACTATTTTTTTTTTAAAGAATAGCTCAGGGAGATTTTCCAAGTTGTTTGAGCTTCTTTTGCTTCTAGGTTGTAAACAGTAGCCAGAAAATCTGAAGATTAAGAAATTATTTGATCTGATTCTGACTAATCACACTTTTTATGCTAATAGTCATTTAAAATGCACGTTTGAACATTATCTTTAAAAATCTGTTCCATTGTTGTTAATGCCTTTCATGAAAATAAGTTGGTGGCAGCATCATGCTTTAAGAAATTTTTGCCTCTTCTCACATTACAGTTAAATATTGCCTTATGTATTTGATTTAATCTCTTGGTTTGAAAAAAACAAAACAAAAAATACAACCTTTCTAAGACACAGTATCTGTTATTTTTTCTGTTAAGTCAAATATGTTTTTTTTAAATGTGTCAGTCTGAGTCAGTTTGATTAAATATTTACTGCATCTGTTTTTGATAACAAATTTAGCACGCATTGACTGATCCAGCTGCTGTTACAAGTGGGTACACATCAGCTGCTTCCTGCAGCAGTACTCCATTAGAGACACAGTTAACTGCATGATCAGATGTTCTGAGATCAGATAGGTAACTGCCTTTGAGCACAGCAATGGTGGGCTGAGTCTGCTTGTTGCATGTCTGAACGGCTCAGCAGGGTGGAGGCTTTGGTTACTGTTCACCATATGGAGAGACTTTCATTAGGAGCAGAGTTGGCAATTATTAGAAGCAAATGTGACACCAGGGTGTGTATTAGCCATGTTTTCACACCGCCCTGGCTGAACGATGTCTTTTGTCTTTCAGAACTGGTTGGACCCATCTAAAGAGATTAAGAAGCAGATGCGCAGTGAGTGTCTTTTCTCAGAAGAATATTTTATCTTTTTAAATGTGACTCAGGTAAAGACTTAGAATGGGCTCGTTAAAAAGTGTTTTTTTTTTGCTTTCAGATTTTCTCGGCTCTTTTGCCACACTTGAAATGAAGATTAAAATTAATCAAAGGCCTGGTAGATTTAGCCTTAAAATTGTTTATACTATTTTTTTTCTTGTAAAAAACAGAGCAGTGTAAAAGAAGGGTTAATTATAATCTATTATAATTATAAAAATATTTTTAAACTATTTAGTCTAATTTCAGAATTCTTTAAAAAGCTGTTTATTATGGTCTTGAGCACATTTTTTCTGGTATTTTGAAAATGTATCATTTACAATCAGTCCAACAATATCCATCAGCCTTTTATTAATATTGAATGTGCAAAAAAAGGGCCACACTTTATTTTTGCATGACAAGAGTTTTCATCAATGTTGCGCCATGTAATCCTTGGGGAGAAAATGTTGGTAACAGCTTATTGTGCCAAATGTTCCTTAGGGTAGAAATAGTTTAGATATTTTAGATGATCAAATTTTAATATTAGTTTTCGAACAATTAAATTTATTTAGGGACAAAACAATATTTAGATAAAGTTTTGTTCGGGGGTTCGATTGCAGTTTGCTTAAATCTGTCTGAAAAAATGAACACATTGAAACCTCATATTAAAAAAAATTAAGAATAAAAGATCCACTAATCAGTCTGGATAGGAATGCCACTGTAAGTCATTTTTTGACTCCAGAACACATCAATGAGAGGCACAAAAAGAAAAACAAAGTTAGACAGTTTTGTGAAAAGCCACAATCACTTATGGAGCAAATGGAATTCTCCCTGAGGTCACAAACAACTCAAAACATAACACCTTGAGAAATGCAGGCTTCATCTTCCTCAGTTTATGTCAAAGATCATGATCTAACAAAAATACCTGGCAGAAAAGAAATCAGAAAACATCAGGTAAGATGTTCAAGTGAAAATCACCGCTGACCAAAACCCACAAATGGATCCAGGATGCTTATAAATGATAAACCCATTAATTCAACTATCTAACAAAAATCCTGCAGAAGAATATCCATTCTTCAGGCCCAAGTAAACCTCAGTTATTCTGCAAGTTCACCTTTGAAAGGCTCATAAAACAACTAAATGAAGTGGCCCAATCAAAGTCAGGACTAAAATTCCTCTGATGATGTGCTGTTAATGTAAACAGTCGCTTAAAGCAAGAACAAAACTCCTTTGTGACTGAAGAAAAACAATTATGTTTAGAAGAATTGTATAAAAGACAAATTATTTGATTTTACAAATGTTGCCTTTAAGGTCAGTCACAATATTTTCTGTTTTCAAATACATTAAAAATAGTTCAATTTCTCTCAATAAGTACAATATTCTAAACCGCCTTTTTGTTAACTTGGGTTATGTTTGGAACGTAATTCAAATGAGTTTATAATTAAAGATTATACAAGTGGGACAGAAATGCAAAACCAACCTTGAGCAAACCTAGAAGGGTGCAAATACTTCTTCCTCAGTACTGTCGGCTGTTTTTTCTTATCTATAGTTCTCCCCTCGTCTCCTCCCACAGACTCTCCGTGGCACTTTGCTTTCGCTGTAAAGTTCTATCCCCCAGACCCCTCCCAGCTCACAGAGGACATTACCAGGTAGCACACACACACCCTGACACACACACACACACTGACGCACACACACACTGGCACGCCTTCCCTAAAATAACCGCTGAAACACCTGAGCGCGTGCCGTCAGAGGCAATCAAAGAACAAGATCAAAGAGCTAACACATGTTTTTCTGCAGATGATAGTCCCTCATTTAGGTTACTATTATGTGTTTACATAAAGGTGTTGTAACAATTCTGCTGCCATATTTGCTCAGATTACAAAGCTTCTGTAATCCCTCTCTCTTTTTCCATTGATCAGCCCTGGAATGCCTCTAACTGCCTCAGATTAACCAGACGGAATTCTTGTTGGAGCCTGTGTGACTCAGGCTGGTTTGACTGAAGGCCTTCCCAAACCTTTCCCTCATTTTTATTTCTTCTCTCACAGGTACTACCTGTGTCTGCAGCTGAGGGATGATATCCTGTCAGGTCGCCTGCCATGCTCGTTTGTCACCCACGCCCTCCTGGGCTCCTACGCCATTCAGGCCGAGCTGGGAGACTACGACCTGGATGACCATGGCTCTGATTACGTCAGCGACTTCCGCTTTGCTCCCAATCAGACTCGTGATTTAGAAGAAAGGGTGATGGAGCTCCACCGAACTTACAAGTAATGACAGGATTCACTGTTGCTTTAATAATAATTTTATCATTCTCCAAATGTCTCAGCCTGATCTGCTGATGCGTTTATCTCTTGTACTGCAACATTTAATCATGCATATGGATTCTGATTGATGCAATGGCATTACCATATTTTATGCCTTGAGATGCTCACAGCTTGAATGAAAGCTTTTTCTTAGTCACTAGACAGTCTCCATGGTATGATTTGGAAACTAGGAAGTGAATACATCAAACATTTTCTTACAGATTATTCCACCCACTGTCTGCATGATTCAGGTTTTATTAGTGAAGAAATATGTTGATGCTGTTAGATGTTTTAATGCATATATTATTGTTCTTCTGCACGTAGGGGAATGACACCTGCAGAGGCTGAAATGAACTTTTTGGAGAACGCGAAGAAGCTGTCCATGTATGGGGTGGACCTTCATCATGCTAAAGTTTGCAGCTTTCTAGATTCTTTAGATTTCTTTTACATTAAGGATACAATTAATCAATACTTGTGAGTGACTTTCGCCTGTGTCTGCTGCAGGATTCAGAGGGGATTGAGATCATGCTTGGGGTGTGTGCCAACGGCCTGCTGATTTACAGGGACAGACTGAGAATCAACCGCTTCGCTTGGCCAAAGATTCTGAAGATTTCATACAAGAGGAGCAACTTCTACATTAAAATAAGACCTGGGGAGGTATGCCATATATGAAGAGTTAGTAATCATGCTAACAAGAGAGCTGTCCAAGCAGAGACCATAGAAGCATTAAAAAATCCAGAAAACACAAAAGGAACCTGAAATGCAGCGTTAATGAAGTTTTTTATCAGACTTTGAAATTCAAAAAGGAATAATCTCTTAACTCTTTTTTTTCTGTGGGTTTTAATCTTCTCCATAAAGGGTTATAATTATACATTCAGGGTATGTATAAATATGCATTGTTTAGATAACAGTCTTTTACCAGGTTGGAGCTCTACCACCAGGATTACTGGGAAACAAACAGCCCCACTTCATGATGCAGTCATTCCTATGTTTGACAATTGTCTCAATGTTCTTAAGTTTAAAGAATATGATTGGGACAAGAAGCATAATTTACAGAGGGATGAAATTAAAGGCCTTCTTTCTGTTTCTTCTAGCTTGTTTAAGATCAACAGCCCAGTTAATGATTGATTTAATATTGAAAACAGAGAGTGTTCCAACAGGAAATGATCCCTGCCACACATACGGGTTTAAACATTCGATTTTTAAAAAGCAATTTAGCAAATATTGTTGCTTTTTGGTTGGTCAAGGTGTAAATATCTAAGGTACAGCTATTACTGGGTGCTATTACTGGGTGAAACTATATATTTAGGTTGGTACGTAGAAATCTGGCTGTGCATAGACATTAAAATCCTCAGTGAATTAGGTCTTCAGCACCCTATTCTTGTTTTAAATATTTGCTAAAGTATTTTTACATTTTTTGCTACAATCATTCTGCTCTGATAAAAATGCAGTTCAGATCACTCATTTGAACCCCTAAATAAAAATGCCATTCTTGTCTGCAGTGTGTTAGTATTAATATCCGACTGACAGTGTTTATTTTAAAGGGGGTCTTAACATCTCAGAACTATGTTTTTTGTCTTTGAATGTAAGCTATTTGTTAGTATAGGCCAACAGTTTACTGTTGGAGCCCGATACTTTAGCCAGATTTGCTCAGCAATATGGCAATATAATTGAAACATTTGTTTTATAACAGTGCCTTAACTTGCATCAGTGTGGGAAAAACATGACTTTACTGTTACAGTAGCTTTGATGTTACACTCACTTGTTAAAATAACATGTTGTTTTATAGCCGATTTCAATTTTAGGAGTAGAAACCATAAAGGCAGTATGGTTGTGTAACTATGAAATGGTGTACTGTTGCTGCAAGGATGTATTGCTATTCAGTTATTTTACATTAAAATTTCCAGTTCAGTTTCAGCACAATTACACCTTTTTTCCCTGACGGTGTTGGGAATTATTTGGCAAAAAAAAGAAGGTTTCTTTCCATCTTCAAAACCTACGCTTTAGGTGGGACATTTATAGAGTATAGGAGATTATTGCTGCTGTAATGACTCAGAACAGAGGGACCCAGTAATCCGGAAAGATAGGCAGTGGGGTAACTTCAAAAACGTTACTGGCATCTAAGGCAGGAACCTCTATAGCAGAGAAACTCAGGTTAGTGACGACGATAATCTAACGGAGGATGATTATGAACATGTGAGACACTAACCTGGTTTTACAGTTCAGTCCGTGCCCAGAGAGCGAGGATGACGAGACGCAGCAGACGCTGCCAGAGTTCCAGACGCTGTAGCCTTGAAGCCTGCAGAACTGGCAGGAGATAAGATGCAAACAGTCGAAGGAAGGCAGGATAATCCAGAGGGCCAAATCGAGGCAGATCCAGGTTCAGTCCACAGTAGAATCCAACAGAATCCAAAGACGGCTCATGCAACAGATCAGATGGGGGCAGGCAAGCTCAAAAGTCCAAATATAAAAACTGATCAGGATCAGGCAATCAGAACACTATTAGAAACGCTGAAGAATAATCTATCACTGATGGTTGGGTGTTAATGTCTTCTTAAGTTATCTTCTTCAGTCATTGATGAAAGTTTTTATGGTTCCATGGGGAATTTTTTCTCATTTCTCCCTGCTTTATACCTTCACTAATAAGATCATTTTGATTCTTTAATATCTATTTGCAAACTTCGGCTTTAGCTCCAGGATGAAATGGCGGAAAAGTCAGCAGAAATCTACTAGAATAGCTTCACTTTTTTCAGGTTAATCAAATTCTCTATGAATCAGATCAGATTTCATGGTTGGGTTTTTAATTAAATTCAGCAAAATGTATTTTTTTTTTTTTTTACACCACAAACCTGGCATTTTATGATGCCTCTTAAGAGACTCTTCCCTTGCATTATAGAGGCATTCACTGACACGAATGTGTGTTCAGTCATGCTGGAAACTGACCACAAAATCCTTCAGCTGTGCTTCTCTTCATGGTCAGAGACTATGTCTTGGCCCTCCTCAGTGTGCTTAAAGGCGCTGCATCTTAACCTCCTTGCTGAGCCTCAGTGTATTAGGCAGTCTGGGTGAGACCCAGTCAAGTGAAAGGGCTGCACAGTGAGCCTGTGATGGCGCCAAATAAAGAAGCCCTTTAACAGAGCTGCTGCAGCTGCAGCCACAGATTAACAAGGAGGAGGAGTGTAAATATAGACATGGAATATTTTTTTTCCTGGGTATTATAAACTTTTTTCACCCTGTCTTTGCAGTTGTCAATACTATTTCTGTATTTGCTTTTGTTACCCAATACCCACCTCTTCTTTGTTTCTCTCTCTCTGTTCCTGTGTCTTTCTCTCTCCCTTCCAGTATGAGCAGTTTGAAAGTACAATTGGTTTTAAGCTTCCCAATCACCGAGCTGCCAAGAGATTGTGGAAAGTCTGCATTGAGCACCACACCTTCTTCCGGTAAGAAACAGATTACTTGAACATTTTCAGATTCAGCCTTTGAGTGATTCGATGTTTCTGCAGTCAGAGACAAAATATTCAAACCCCTTAAACATTTTTACATTTTGTCGAGTTATATCGACAAAACCCAAATTTATCCACAATGTGACAAGATAGACTAGCACCAAGGTTGGGGAAAAGGAAAATACATGTAAGGTTTTTATATTTTCCTTTTTACAAAGTGTGGTGTGCATTTGTTTTTAATCTTCCCTATTCCTATCCCCCTTAAAAATCTGCTACTAATGGTTGCCCTAAGAGGAAATACATATATAACAGAACAAGTTTACCTCATTGTGATTTATTTAGATTCAATCTTTGAAGGAGATGCAGAAGAATATTTGGACAGGATAACTGTTTTCATATACAAGAGAAGAGCACTTATTGAAAAAGACGCTATAAGAAGTCACATTAAAAGTTTAGCTTTGTGGAAAACTGACACTGAACATCACACAAAAGGCCCCATCCCTGCAGTACAAGGCAGCTTTATGCTGTGGGGGTTTCTTCGCTTCAGCAGGCATGAAGATCGATGACATGAAGTGCTAGAAAAATAAAACATGTTAGAAGATCAAAGGTTTATCTTTCAGCAAAAAAAAACACCAAACAAAGCTTTTAAAGGTTTTATGATAGCCCAGCAAGAGTTCAGACTTACAGTAAATCCAGTTTAGAATTTGAATGTTGCTTTTAACATTTTACAAAGTACAATTATTTCACACTCTATAACTTTACACCTCATTTTAAAAATGTTTAAACCTTTTCTACCTATTCTTTTCACTAATTCATGTTCGTCTGTCATATGAAATACCAGGGGTTTAAATAGTTTTCTAGGGGATAAATGTGGGACAACCAAACCCGGGATGCTGTCTTGGCATTAGCTTTGCTTTTGATGTGGGGATGAACTCTGAAGAAATCCTTTATAAAGTAGCTTAAAAGTTTGAAGGAATTCATTTTTAAATTGCTCTAAGTAGCAGTGACAGCTCCATCATATGCAGTTCTTCAGGAAGACAGGGTCACATTAGGGTAGAAACAGTAATTCAGATTCATCAGGCACACTATCAGAAATCAAACCATAGTCAAAAAAAAGAAAAACTGCATTCAGGAATGCTGGCTACACATCCCAAAGGGTTTACTGGTAATGTGAAAAAAGCATTAAATACATTTTGATTCTTTCCTAGCCATACCCCATCCATCCAGGTTTAAAACATGCCCTGAAACTGACCAAATAAGCAGCCCACCATCCTCTAAAGAAGAGTCATTCTGTGTCATTTAATATGCCTAATGTCAGTCTGACAGCATCATTTAAATTGTTGAATTTAAATAGTCGATTGTGAAAACCTTAGGATTGATTTATTGCATTCTCTAATTTGTAGTGTAGTCCCTAAAGGGTTTGTTTACAGCAAACTGCCTCATACAGACCAGTATTTGCAGTCTGACTCCCATCACCCACTGGAGCACAGGTTGGGAGTCATCTGGACGCTGTATCGCAGAAAAGACAATGTTGCTACTAAAGCAAGAGCCAGAGAGAAGATTGCACAAAAGCAGGCCCTAGAGTAACCCTAACTGGACTTTCCTCAAAGCAGACAAGAAACCCAAACAGAATACCAGTCAGCCATCAGGTAAAAAGAAAGAACCAAATTCCAGAACCAGACCAGTAGTCCTTCTGTATGTTGGGGGTGTTTCAGAGAAACTGAGATGTCTACTTTTTAAACATGACATCCTAGTGGCATTCAAACCCCAAAGCACATTACAGCAAAGACTAGTTCACCCCAAATATTCTGTCCCTGGAAGAAAAAGAGTAACATATATGCTGTCAAGTGTCAAAGTGGGACTGTGACCAGTTATACACCGGGGACACAAAGCTACCCCTGGCCAAAAGGATGACCCATCACAAACGAGCAACATCATCAGGTCATTATTCAGTAGTTTGCACTCGTTGCTGTTTTGATAGAGGAGTAAAGGAAACCATATTTGTGAAGAGAGTCCATCCCTCTGCAAACAAAGGTCGAGTTCTGTCCCCCTTTTACAAAGCTGTTATTGCAAGCATGGCTTGGTCCCCCAGAAACAACAAGCAATCATCAGAGCACTAGCAGTTGGTCGTTGGGCCGTTGATCCTTGTTTGCATGCAGTTTCAGCTGTCACTATTTACTGGTTTATCCACTATACTATAAGGCAGATCATTTCTCAGACTAAAGAAGCTTAAGTTAAGAAGCGAACAACCTAGAGGCTAGTTTGCTGGCCAGTCAATCACAGTAACACCATGGTTACTAGCAGTCTGGGTCAATACCACATCCTGCTGGAAACTAAAACCCTTATCTCCATACGGCTTGTCAGCAAGCCAAAAAAAAGAGCTGGAATGCTCTTCTTGTTACTGTAGATGGCACGTGGTGGACCAACTAAGCCAGATGACATGGTACTCCGAATCATCCCTTTAGGCAGCATCCATGGGACAGTCTTCACTGGCATTTAGGCAGCATGCATTATATGTGTCTCCACTCTTTCTCTAGAATCTAAAACCTTGATTTCCAAAAGAAATAAGAATTAACTTTCACCTGAAATAATGGGCATTAAGCAACAGTTTTACTCTTTTTCTCTTTAGCCCAGGTAAGATGCTTCTGATCTTGTCTTGGGCTCAGATGGTGTTCGACATGAGGAATTTAACATTTGTAGCCCCTATTTGGGATTTCTCTGGTAGTAGTCACTATTAATACGCTGACACCAGCCTCAGTTCATTCACTCCTCCAAATTTTCAAATGGATTCTGCTTAATAACCACATGAAGGCTGCAGATACGTATGTTTCCAGTTCAACTTTTCTTATAGCCCTCTTTGCTTTCTGTCACCTTTCTATTAACATGGTTGGAGTACTCAGACTGAACAACTAGCTTCTTTAGCAATGACCTTTCAAGGGGTTCTCATACTTGTAGAGATTGTCAATGACTCCTTTTAACATCTATCCAGGCAGCTGTGTTCCCCACAGTGTTTAGCTAACTATACTTAGATACCACCCAGAGCCTCGGGGAACCTTTACAGCTGTTTTAACCTGTTAGTGTCTGGACCGGTCCGCAGGTTACATGTGATGCTTTCAAATTTGCAATCTTTGGGGGATTTTTACATGACCAGTTAACAGATTAGGCTAATTAGCTGGTAAGGGTTTCACATAATTAGTTATGATTATTCAACTTTTCTGAAATATTGACAGTGACTAACGGGTTTTTATTATCTGTAAGGGATGATCAGAATTATATAAAAAAAAAGACTTGAAATACATCACTCTATGTGTTATAAATCTATTTATGATTTTCTGAAATGAGTGACAAATATAATGAACTTCTTCACAACAGTCCTATGACATACAGGAAAGAAACTGAGTGTTGGGCTTGAAATCCTTCTTTCTAAAATAAGATATTTTTTTAGTTTCAAAGCTGTCTCCCTTTTTTAGCATAGATACATCTGACAGCTTTTGTTTCTTTTTTTTCCCTAGCTTGGTATCTCCTGAGCCTCCTCCTAAGGGCTTCTTGGTGATGGGTTCGAAGTTTCGGTACAGTGGAAGGACGCAGGCTCAAACCAGACAGGCCAGCGCCCTCATTGATCGTCCCGCTCCTCACTTTGAGCGGTCAGCCAGCAGAAGGTACCTGCTGTCCAGGAGCTTGGATGGAGGTGAGTAATATATTTCCACATTGTGCCACCTTAAAAGACTTTTTACCTTTGTTCTCAGTCGATTTTACTTTGATACCCCATAATAATATCAGAGGAGCAGCCGAGAGTTCCATGGTAACTCTAGATGAGCTGAGGAGATCCTCAGTTGAAGAGGAACTGTTAACAGTGGTACTATTAGTGGTGCATTCCCTGAGTGTCAATAAGAGAGCCTTTGTTGAAGCAGGGCCACAAGGGAAGTTTGCCGCAAACTCTGATAGGGGGCGCAAAAAGCACATGGAAGAAGGTGGATCTAGCTTTATGACCTAAATAGATCATTAAAAGCAAAGAAATAGTGGCAGGAAAATGCTACACCTCATATCTTATATCAACATATCTTGTTGTGGTATGCTTTTCTTTCACTGAGAGATGTTATCCATGAAAGATGCTCCAGTGCTTCAATTGGTCTGATGCTGAAGCAGGCTCTTAACTGCATCTACAAAGAAACCAGTCTGCCTTTTCAACCTGGGATAACACCACAGCATCATTATGAACATCTCAGATAACAGTTTAAAGTTATTATAACCATATTTGTCTCAATTTTTAACAGGTGTTTATAAAAAAACATGACCTGTGATATTAAGGACCAAAAGGTTATGGAACTGAGCGTTAAATCTGGTTTATGGATTCAGTGGAAAATAAACAGCTGTTAAAGCCTTGCATTGACCTATTAAAACTCTTTAATTTGTGATTTTTTAAACAAACTGCTTGAGCTATTCTGATGCTTACCTTAATTTTTTTATCATAGCTCAAATCATGTGTTTTTACAGTGTGGCTTTGTTTTCAAAATAAGAGTCATAACCTGTTATTTTACACACGCCTTCTGAAATAGCCCTTAAAGTCAGTTTAAGTTTAATCAGTTTTAATCAAGCAAAGACAACATTTAAAGTCCAAGATGCTGATTAGAGGTTGCAGCAAAAATATTGGTGGAGGTTTGGCTGAACAAAAACCACAATGGAGTGGTTTAAATCATTGCATATTAAAATTTTGGAACAGTTCAGTCAGTCAAAGTCCAAATTCAATAAGAAATTTGATCTAATAAAATTACGCTGACAGATGCTCCATCCAATTTTCTATTAATATGTGCAGATTACATATTCATGCTCCATCACTCTGGTAGTAGTTTAGTAAAGCAAGCATTGTTTGTGCATCATGTAATCAGGTTAATCCCATTGAGAAAAAAGAAATCTCTTTTAAACCCCAGATAGAGGACACAGCTAACATGGGGAAGAAGGCATTGGATATGTTACTATACAACTTTGCTGAAGGCAGCAGCACAGTCACTTTGCAAAAAGCAATACAAAGAAATACAAATTACATTAAGGACATTGGCCATAGTAGGAGATGAAAACTACAATAGTTTCTTACACAGTTCAGTTACAACAACAAGCTTTAGTACCATGTATATTGTGGCATTCATTATTGTTGCAGGTATGATGTGAGATATTTAAATGTATTTTATATATAAGGAAATATCAATATCAGTTATGAATGAATCTCAGTGACTTAGTGATAAAAAAGTTGTGCTAACTGAGTTCTTATCAACATTACAAGGAAAGTGAGACTGGAAGTGTTCTGGAATAAAATCCCGATAAAGTTTCACATATTTTTTTAGATATCCTGAACATATTCTCTATAAGTCATATGATGATAAAATCCAAATCCTAAATTAGATACTAGCTCAATTTGTTCAGCATTTTTTGTTAAAGCTTCAAAACGTCCAAATATTGAAGTGTAACAAAAACCTAATCTTTGTTTTATTTGCACTCAAACTGAAAATTAAAAAGATGCTGGATATTGTTTAGGCATATATAATCCTGATAAAACATATTTATGTTAGTGATTCTAATGTGACGAAATGTGAAACTATTTAGGTAGCTGGAATAGTTTTGCAAGGCACTGCGGTTTTTAAATCCAATTAAATTGATTCATTGTGGCTGGAAATTGCTGTGTAGCTTTGTGTGACTGAAACCAATATAAAAAAAAAAACAGTAGGATGTGCCAGTAAATGCGTAGGTTAATTTAAGACGTTTTATGCTCCTCTGGCTACTCCCTTATGAAAACTAAACTTTTCTGAACCAGCAGAGTTCTCACGGCCGGTATCGTCCATGTGTGAGAACCACGATGGGCTATCCCGCCGCAGCGCCAGCGAACACCGTCGACTACACAGCCCGTCCGTGGAAGAGCAGGAGACTGAGCTGGAGCCCAGCCTGGAGCAGGACGAGGAAGACAAGTACCAAGATCTAAGTCATGAGGAGCATAAAGACCATGATGGCAATGTCACCCCAAGCAGGAAGAAAGAAATCAAGGTAAGGAATTTTTTTTCTTTTTGATGTGCAGAGCTGGCAGCATCTGCTGACATAATGAAGTAATTAGGTCCAAAATCATAAGCTCCTTAGTCCAGTTAAGGTGTATCCCACAGTAGCATGACACTGTAAAGGCTTTTGAGGATTTAATCTTTGCTAAAGCTTCTTCTTTCACCACTGTTTACACTGCTTTTATGCCTACATTGCATAAAAGCATACTACATATGCTAAGAATGGCAAACTGGAGGCTGGCCTTCTGTCTCTAACACTCTCTGTCTGTTTTTCAACCCTTGCTGGCAATAAGGAGGAGGCTGGCTCACCAGCCAACAGTAAACAGGAGGTATTTGACGTCTCTATGTTGGTCGGAAAAATGTTTCCAGTCATCCATCACTAAGTCTGTCAAACTATTCTTTCCCCTTAAAGGCTCATCTATGGGTTGTTGCGTCTGGAAGTTGGGCTTTCCGGACAACCATCAATGAAAAAGCTGTGCTTAGTTAAATAACGCGCGGCTAAGTGTTATTACCTCTGGCAGGCTAGTTAAAACTTCTATGAAGAGAAAATAAAGAAGAGAGAAGATAAAGTCAAAACCTGAATAACTGCAAGTGATTAGAACTGGGAAGTAACGGAAGAACGTTGTGTTATTTTTATTGGTTGTATTGGAATTGGTAGCAGTCACGTTCCACTGACTGAACACTAATAAACTGATATTTGGGCAGTTACAACGAAAGAGGGAGGGAGCATTTTAGTCAGAGCTGAGAAAACTCCAATTTGGTTAAACATTTGTAATACTTTTGGTTTGGAGGCTGTCTTGGTGTATTCTTTATCAAAATGAGTGTTATTTATTTTAATGTGTCCATCTGAGGTGTTTTTTTGGGTTATCTCCATCTTTTTTTTTCTCAAATTCCTTAATCTACCTCACTGTGATATCTATGCCTGTCGTCTTACTGCATCTGCCATCCATCTTGTTTCGGCACCTTGTCCTTACACCTTCTGACCTTGCACTCTTCATTTCTGAACCTTCTCTTGCACGCCCGTTCTCCTGCCCCAACTCAGCTCTCTCAGTTGGACCAGGAGACCACTCCTCGGCACAAAAAGGAGGTACAGGTTCCAGAACTCAGCTCTAGCACGCTTTGCTGTGTGATGCTACTTTTGCTTCTATTTCTTAAGCCTGTAGGGGATTTCACCTGCTGATAATTTATAGCATCAACACCTACAGTACAATAGGATGTATTATATTTTTGCTTTAACACCAATATAGTACCAGCCCTTTTTAAAATTCCAGTTAAATGGAATGATCAGATTTAATGGTACTCAGTTCTGCAAATCAAATGTCTCAGCCCAGCTGTAGAATGTGTCACTCCGATGAAAGGATGAAAGCTTAAGTATTGTTCAAGGACACAATTTGAAATGTCTGAACTACTCTGCGAATAACTTAAATTATTATGGAACGGAAAAACTGTGGTTAAGCAGCATTTCACTCGGAACCATGAAACATTTCAGGACTCCAGGAAGTATTAAATTTTGGCACTACATGAATGCATCATGTTCTGGCATTTTTCCAGAAAGAAAACAAACAATCCAAACAAAAAACCTCATAAGATGCCGAATTCTAATCAGCAAACAAATGAATGGATGTCTCATATTCATTTTATCATTCATGAACTTTGGAGCAAGAGCTTGATTAAAGTGCTCGTTTGTATCTCTAAAACTAATTCAGCTGTAACCATAATTGTTTCTGGTTCTGTTTCAGCTTCAGTGGCATTAAAAGAGATGAGCACAATTTAGTTTAAAAACAGCAGCGTATTCTCCTCTCAGCCCAAGTACCAGCCAATCTTTTGACATACATTCCAGCATGCAAAGCATTTCTCCCAGCCTCTTCATGCAAACGTTAGCTCTGCTGTTATAAAAAAAGACATCCCGATATATTGCCAACGCCTCCCTCTGTGTCCTCTGCTCTCCTCCAGTTTCTTGAGAAATCTCCGGATGTCTTGCTGAAGCACCAGGCCAGCATTAACGAGCTGAAGAGGGCCTTGAGGGAGCCCAACAGCAAGCTGGTAAACAGAGAGAAGCGTCTTTCTGCAACGTCTCCGACTGGAACTCCAGAGAAGAAGGCTGTAAGTAGAGGTCCCAATACTGGGTTAGTGGATTTTCTCCTGCCACCTTTTAAAAAAAGGTTGTTTTGGTTTTTTTCTTTTGTTTTGGTTTTTTAACTGGGTGTGTGGTTAAACTCGAAATCCCTTACAAAGTGATTCCATTCAATTTCAATAAAAGTAACCAGATTTTAAGCCAGGTTGCCTTTACAAAGCTATGCTCACTCGACACCCTGTTAAATTACATTTAACAGGGTGTCAGCTATTTTTAACTATTCTTTAAGGGTTTTAAGTTACAATGCAACGTGATTGTAGAAGGTAAATAATATATAGAATGGATTTTTTTTTTCATTTACAGATTACTTTATAAAAAGTCTTCCGTCATATGTGGTCAGTGCCCAAAATCATTACTTTATTAGCTGCACTTACAGATGCTAGTCTTTATCTGCAACAGCTCTGCACATCTACCCATTAAAATCTTTGCTGTCAAATATGATGTAATGAATCTGGGAGCACAGATTCTATATTCTTTTAACAGATTCTCAATTGGATTTAGTTATGGCCTATGGCTCGGTCATTAAGCACATGAAGATATGGGATTGAATTAGATTCAGGGGTTGTTTTACTAATTCATCGACCTCCGAAGGTAATTGGTTGTACTGGATTTAACACTGGATTTAACACTTTATGCTGGACCATGGTAAGGGGTGATGAATAACAATCTATTTAATGCTTTTTGGATTTCTTTTGTGCAAAAAATGAAATAAAAAAGAGAAAATAACTCCAGCCCTTTCTTCCCATTTTAAAAATACACACGTTTGTGTTTGTCTGTCACATTAAATTCCCTTAAATCTTAAATTTGGAGAGCAAAGATCAGCAATGCAATCATGAAACTTGAGCAGGAAAAATGAGGTGAATGAACTTATGCAGAGATATTTACAGCCACAAGAACTATTGAATCCATTCCTTCTTAAGATGTGTTTAATTGAGTGCATTTCATCTTACTTCAGAGGTTCAGGTCTAATCCCTGTAATGTCTCTGAAGTATTTGTGGATGGTACTTAATTTAAGGCATTTGAAAAGAGATCATCAGTCATGTTTTCTTCTTTTCGATTGTTGATTAGTAACAGTGTTCTTTCTGCCAAATATTAAAATCAGCTTAAGCTTTTATCCCATTTTGTAGGCCTAGATCAGGTAGTAGATAATGCCTGTGTTTTGCAGTGCCTGTTGCCCAAATATCCCATTCGCAGTCTGTATCAATCAGATTAAGTTGGAAAATTGTTAAATGTCTGTAGCAAAAGAAAGAAAAAGAATCTGCAGTGCACCTGACTCCAGGAAGATAGTGATTTTAATGTGTGATTGTTAATAGATTGCAGGGAACTTCTACAGGTTTCAGAGGGTTTAGACAAACTCTGCTCTTTAATGTGGCAGATAAATGGGTTTGTTTTTGATCTGATACCCTTTCATACTTTAACTGAGTTCCCTCTGAGAAAATGTTTGTTGAATATGTATAGAAAAGAAAGATCTATTAAAATTGAAAATGCATTTCCTTTATTATATACAGAGGTTGAATGGTCGACTGCATAAGCCCTCATAGCCATGTTAGATTATTAATTTATGCTTCCTAGCTTAGTTTGATCATTAGAAGAGAGTAAGCTCTGGTTAGAATGTCAGTTAGAAACCTCCACAGGTCTCCATTATTTAGAGTGTAACAGTTTTAAGACAAAGTAATCTCGCTTTGGGAAAAAATACTTATTTTTACAAATAAGTATAGCCAAATATTGTTGAACAACATGAAAGGATCAACCACATTTTATCTATAAATAGGTAGCACAGAAAAAAGGTTCAAATGACTTTAGGAAAGCATTCTTGAAATTTGTTATATTTTAACTTTAAATAAAGCTCATTCAACATGTTGGAAGGAGCGGTTAAAATGCAGTCTAACAGTCAATGATTATCATTAAGTTGCTGGTATACTGCACATTTTTATCACATGGAAAAACTCCTTAATCTCTGGACAGAGCTCTTCACATCTCTGCAAGAATTTCCCTCAGTAAGCCGTCACATATCAGGCTGTAACTAGAGCTCAGGGCAGTTCCATCTGCACCGGAATTACACTTACTGTAACAGCTGTCTTTGGAAAGACTCCTGTAGAACAGGCCATTTTTATCACCACTACTGTTATCTCCTGAATTCTTGTCATTTTTGTGTATAAGCTTCTGTACTTGTGACTAAGTAGACAAATGTATTTTAAGTATGTCATAATGATGAATAGGTCCTGTCCCTTGATTTGGAAATTTAGCATTTTTGGTGTCTTTGCCTGGCTTCTCCATCCCTTATTTAAAACCCGCTTGATCTAAAAACTAGCATTTCTGTAAACTCTATCTTCCTTGTAGATAGGGATGGTGGCTATACCTATTAGCAGTAACATCGGTATCACGAAATGTCAGTAATTTTTCTAACATTTTGGTATTGGTTCCATGTGTGACTGACATTAACCAACAATGTTTAATCCAGGCTTGTCATAATTTTATTATGTGCCTCAGTAATTGAAGGGTTTAGGTATCTGGTATATGTTTGGGTGAATTCCACCCAGCTACATCCATCTATCCGTCTATGGATCTAAAATGGTGTTAAGATCATTACAATAACTTCTACAATTTACTATCTACTCGCTGATTAAGACTGATGTTTCTCCTATGCTTGTAATAAACAATGTGAAATTCAGGTTGAAAAAACGAAAAGGTGAATAAACCTCCTCTTAGGGATGGCTATTGAGGTTTAATTGTGGTTTAAAGGTGGTTGGGGCTTATCCAATTGGCTAAATGGGCCTACTGGCTAAACAAGTCAGACGTACACCTTATTTTTAATAGTATAAAGAATCTCCTACCTTAAATGCATCATGAAGGAAAAAACAAATAAATATATAATGAGCTTGGATATATGACCCTCTCTGCAATTTCCATTTCCTCTCTTTTATGCATAATATTGTGTCTAGCCTATTCACTGCTTTATTTGACTCTGACGTCTAACTTTTGTTCTTCTTTTTCTCCTTTGCTGCGTATCGGCCAGTTGGGGGGCCGAGCAGTGGGAAAAGACCCTGTTAACAGCCCTTCTGTTGAGGGTTTCGTCCAGAAGACTCTGGTGACTTCACCTGAGGTTGCACATCTTTTACTGTTCCTCTTCATGAAACAGTCTACTGTGTGTAGCATTGCCAGTTGATGCACAGTGCTTCTCAAATAGTGAAAAAATGAAACCCATTATATAGACTACCAACGCAAAGGGTAATATACTTCATTTCGAAGATTATGGCTTATCGCAAAGCTCTAAAATGAGCTCAATGTAGAAACAAAATGTTGAATATGACAAAGTTGCAATATAACTTTTCAAGACATAAATGTTATTTTATGTTCATGGTATTGCTTGCACTATCACTAGGCAGACTGGTAACATAACTGTTGTCCAGCACAGGGTCATTTACACCCTCCAATATTTATGTAAAGATAAGTGGAAGAGAAAAAAAAATGTTAAAAAACGTAAGTGGCAACAGTACATTCAAGAGTTTGGAAGAGATAGACAAGCAACGTCCTCCAAAAAATCTGCCTGAGTCACCAAACCATGACATATCTAGATAAATGCTCACATTCTTAGTTTTTAGCCACTTCTGGACCATAAAGTATAAAGGCAGAACTTCCTGTAAATATTAGAACACTACTGTATTCCACTCGCATGATTTCCTAACTTGGCATAAATTAGATTGATAGGTATAATGCTGGGTACGGGAATTATGCAAAGAAAGCCCTGACTAAATATTTAGTGCATATTCTGTACTGTGTTTAAATATGTGTTATTTCTCTTTGAAAACTATTTTTTTATTGGTCTGAACCAAAATTTGAATTTTCTGAAAAGCTAAAATTTAGGTTTTTATTAGCTGTATGCCATAATTATCTAAACCAATACCTAGCATCAGTTTTTGTGTAATGCGTCTTTATAATATATGAATTTCACCCACTGAATGAAATTACTTTGACAAATTTGTTTCTTGAGTCTTTAACAAAAGAATACATGTTTTACTCCCACTTATGGAATGGAGACCATTTTTAGATGTTATATTTTGCTAGCAGTTGTGCTCAGCATGTCTAACTGTGCTTAATCTATACCAATATGTAGGGCTCTGAGGAGTGGGTATTGATTGAAAAACAGCAACCTTATCAACTAGACCACGACTGGAGGGCAGAAGAGAAGAACAAATCACACATATCTGACTCTTCGTGGGAGAAAAAGGAGCCGGAAAGAGAGATAGACATTACCAAAATTATACATAAAGAGGAAGAAGGTTATAACAGGAGAGAAGTGAAAAGCCATATTGATAATTTTCCTTTAACAAGAACACCCAAAGAGGCAGTTGTATGCTCTGAGACCTGGTCTTCTGCAATTCAATTACCTGAGAATATAGACTGTCTACTAGACAAATCTCAAAGTAAACCATCTCAAGCCTCAAGCCCAGAGGCAAACAGTGATGCACCTACAGCCTCGTGCCAGATTAAGGAAAAGATGGGCTCTAAATCGAGAAAAAAAGGCAGGCCCCTGAGCCTGAATATTGGAATTCCTGCTGAGCTCGTCAACAAGAAGTCTGGGAGCGATTCCTCCGGAGAAGAAAATAAAGATTCAGATTCAGACTCAGACAACACAACAGAAAAAACATCCAAACCAGAAGATCAAAGTGATGTATCTCCAGTGATCAAAAGAAAAGACAATCAGGGATTATCAAAGGATCAATTTGTCACTGCATATAAAGACAACAGGAAAGAGGAGTTTGGTGAGGGCAAAGAGGTCTCCAGTCAAGGTGTAGTGCAGGTAAAGAGAAAGGTAAATCAAATGGGAATGGCAACCATTGATTTAGGCTTATTAAATGGACCTGGAAATGTAGAACATGACAATTCTTCATCTAGTAATAAAGCTGAACATGTGTATAAGGTCAGAGGAAAGGGTCTCATCGACAACAAAGAGCTAGCAGAGGTGAAACTTCGACAAGTCCGAACACATGAACGAAAGGTCAGTAACTCTGGTGGAGAGGATGTTGAGGGTTTTTTTGGTGAAAGAGGCAACAAGACATCTCTCCATCGACTGTCAGGCAGCAGCTACCAGTCAGAGATCACTAGGATTGTTCCCCTAAAGCCAGAGCGCTCAAAGAGTGTTGCGTGTAAGGATGAAAGGGACCAGACAGGGCCGGAGGAATTCACACGGATCATCAAACGAGAATACCGCTGGTCAGTCGGCTCTCCAGAAGGATCCTCCGACCTTCACTGGACTGACAGCCTAGCATTCCCTGGAGATCCTGAGGGTTTTGCTAAAACAGAACATCTAGATGAAGGCTTTCATATCGGCAGAGGCCCTACAGAGAGCCATCAGTTTAGTTCAAAGACTTCAGCGCTTCCCAAAATGACTCCTCCTGCTCCACCAGTGAAAACGCAGAAAGCCAAGGAGTCTGGGCTAATACTGAGGAATAGCAGAAATGCCGGCAGGGATCAAAGCCTGGACACAGCCAAGAAGAGACACTCGGTAACTCTGCTTGGTATCTGTTACTCAGTCATTGGAGATAAAGCATGAGCTTCAGACTCCCACGCCATATATTCTTTTTAACAGTTTCAATGATCTGACACACTCATCCATTTTACATGTTTGTAACCGTTGAAGGAGCATGCAATGAAGGCTCCTTTACCGGCAATGATTAGCCTGAATGTTCGGACATATCCCTCATGGCTACACATTCCATCTCCCTCCACATGCACCACACCGTGCAGCATATCTGCAATGACTGAAAGTTTACAAAGACAAAGAACATTACCTTGCCTTTGTCTTTTAAAACTTAAATACCTTGGGTTTCACTTTCACATTGTGCTTGAAAAGCAAAGAGCATATTCAATACCATTTTAGTTTAAAAAAGAAAGGCAATTGTGCAGTTAAAAAAAAAGATGATACAATTCCTAATTGATTGGGAAGCCTGCTATCTTTGGAAATCTTAAAGGGGCCTAGTCATTTATTATGCCAGAAAAAACTATACTTATTTTTTTTAAATAAAGCCTGAAAAGAGATTTGCAATTGCTTGGATTTGCACCCTCTGCAGGCAGCAGTTACTAACACATCCATCAATTTGGTAGTTAAAGGGGTCATAGAATGATTCTATAGGGTATTTGATGCTGGTCCTTAAGGTCTCTGAATAGGGTGTGCAACATTGGTTGGGCTAAAAATGGCATATTTCGTGTTCTATATACCCTAATGCAAGCCTGGTTAAAAGGCCTAGAATGAAATGTGATAGCCTTACAGTCGGAACAGCCCCTCGTTTCAATAAAAGAAGTTTAGCAAAATACTGCTAAACTGTCCAAGATTTTGAAAGCTGTGTTCGGTAAAATGCTTAGAGCAAATGAACAGCTGAGCATCAAACTCTGCAGGGATCTTCCGATAGACAGAAATAATCCATGCCTGTTGAGTCTTCAGATCCTTGGGAAGACTGTAAAAAATCTCCCCTTTCTCTGTGTGGCCTCGAACACCAAATTGTAGGCCAAACAGCTAAACTAGTGTCTTACATCTTCGTGGCCTTTATTCATGTTCTTGGGCCAGTGAACCAGTGGGCTGGTCTGTATGTAAATTCCGGGGCGTAACAAAAGTAGAGGGGAGAACCAAATAAGGCACCGTCCCTGAGTTTGCGCCAACTGGGTGCTTAGTTTGGATTCTCCCCCCTTTTATGGAAGTTTAGGATTGTGAGATTTCCAGAGAAAGGAGGTGTCGATGGGGTTTGAACTTCTCTGTACGTCCATTTCACCCACTGAACTATAATTATTCATGTATGACAATGTAAACAAATTTTTGCATTCTATGACCCTTTTAAGGCTGAATGTCTTTTGCAACTTTAGCCATAACTTTATTGAACTTCAGCATTCATATTGTATTTTTAGTGCCACTTATCTCTTTTCCCTCTTGGCATTAAATATTTCTTTAAACTTTCTACACACTGGATCTTGGACCTTTTCTCGTTTTGTTCATGCCTCCCCTGGAAGCTGGTAGCTTGCTTTGCTCAATTACTGCCTCGTTCGCTCATTGTGGGGAGATGGAATATTTTACATCTGGTTATGTGTTCCTGTTATGGTAAAATACGCAACTCATATATTTTAACCAATAAACAGAGCAAAAACATGCAAAACAGATAAAATAAATAATAAGCCATTTCTAAGCTACTGGCATAGAAATATATAAAGTCATAGTAATGACTGGGTCCCTTTAAAGAAATATAACATAGATTTTGTAGGAAATGATCCAAACCTTCCCAGAAGTTACAGTTTTCAAGCAAATGTTCATGTGAACTTGAATATTTTTCAATCTGGAAATTTTTCTTTGTGTTTAAAGATCAACAATTGTTTTGTCCTTCAACCTTAGCTAAATGTAAAGATAAGCAATAATAAAAACATGCTGAGGCTTCCAGCAGTGAAACCCCAGCTGGCAGTGAGCAGCCAAATAAAGCACCTCAGTCGCTGGCTCAGTCAGATTTGCTGCTTCTCATTCCACAGCTGCTATCATTGGGAGTTTGCACACATTTGGCACTGGAATGAATTTGAAAAGAATAGACATGACAGCTTTCATCTTTTTCCACCTTTTCATCTTAGTCAGGCTCTTGCGTAGTGGATTAAAAAGGGATGAGAGGAGGTGTTGCACGGCTCTTGGTGTGACAGTCATATCAAGATCTGATTGATCTCATGAAGTGTGGGAAAATAGCAGCAGCTCCTCCAAACAGTCGAGCCATTCTCACTGACTTTAGAAGATATTTAGTAGCGTGTTTTGACCTTGTCTACTTTTGAATTAAATGACTGTTTAAAGTGCAGTTTTGCAACCAACTTGATCTTGTGGGAGAAAGGGGACACTGGTTGATTGTTGTTGAAACATGTTAATGCTCTAGGAAAAAAGCGTAGAACCTTATAGAAAATAAAAATTTTAAATGTTCTGAGTTTCAATGTTCTTAGTTTCAGACATCTAAAAATGTGTGGCCCAGGAGTCCATAGAATTCATTTATTTGGTTGATGACAATTTAGGAATGATGCAGTTAATGAAGATGGATAATTTCATTAGGTCTGGTATTTCTCTCTTTTTGTACCTTGTTATTGCTTTAAAATTGATGATAAAGTGATTAGAAGCCAAATCATTCCCTTCCCCCAATGACTAACTAGGTACACCAAACACTGACCCAGGTTATGTTATTGATGGTAAATATACCCAAAAAAGCCCCAGCTAGTTAATTAAAACAATAGAACCCCCAAAATTAGCCGAAAAATAAGCCGATCATACAAAACCATTTTCATGTATTATATGAATATCTAATGATCAATTCCTTAAATGTATTTAAAGCTGTAAAAATTAACAATGCCAAACTACCCTAGCCAAGGGCTTGCCTTCCTTACCATTTACCTGCTGGCTTTGTTGCTGTCTTCCTTGTTTTTTTTAAGAGATATCTAATGTGTTCTAATAATCTTGAAGTTTTTAATTTGTACATCTGAATAAAAAGTAGAACTGAATAGAAGTTTGAAAACTAATCAGACTTGCTATACCTGCAATGGTTGGTGACATCAAGTTTGAGTCATAACAGCCACATTGAATTGGGAACTTTAATTTGGTAATCAATATTTTCGATCTCTAATTTGGATTTTCAGCTTTAGGAGACATTCTCGTTAACTTTTCCAACTTCTACCACTGAAGTACGAAGGAATAAGGCTATAGCGGGTTTACTATTGATGTAGTACAATGGTTTTTTGTATGTTGTTTTAGAATTAGATGCCTAAAATATAAACAAAATTGTTGGGTAAGTGAGCTTGACACTTCCTAACTGAACTGAACTCAGGTAAGACAGAAAGTGGAATACTTAAATGGCGTTTCGGTCCACAGAGGAATCCAACAGGAGTCTTAAGACAGGTGGACAAACAGATCAGACTGGGCAGGCAGGCTCAAAAGTCGAAAAACAAACAGGTCAGGATTAGACAATCAGAACACTATAGAAACGCTAGAGAACTCTCAACACCAAAGGCTCAAGAATAATCTGGCACTAATGGCTGGAAAACAGGCGACTTAAATAGGAAACTGGACCAGGCAGATCTGATGAGTGATGAGGAACAGGGCAGAGCTAGACAGGTGAATGAAATGAGCAATCAAGCCAGTCATCAGCACCAAAATCAAGACATGAACATTAGTAATGCTAAGCTTGAGTGAGTCTGCTCGACAAAGCATTGATCTTTTTACAGCTGAAGTGTAACTTAGCAGTGTTTTGACCAGGTCCCTCTAACTTTGACCACTGCTAGCAAGGTCTCTTGTTCATTTGTGCCGAGAAAAATTGAATAATTTTGGCCATTCTGCTCATTAAGCATTTCAAATTGATCAGAATCAAGGCTGAAACCATGTGTTTTTAATAAAAGATCGATTTGATTGAGGGACATCATATTGACATTTGCAAAATTGACCAGGGCCAGGAATAGTATGAGTTTACATTTAGCAAGAGTGTATAAATTATTTGGAAAAAGTTTTCAACATAAACATCCTATCTTTATTATAAAAGACAATCAGATGCAGCAGGTAATAGACATGAGCATAACATGCAGTTTATGCATAAATCTGACAACGCCCAGGGTTCTGTTGATTTTCTAACATTACACTTGGATGCACTTAGATTTAGGATGAGTCCATCCTGCAGCAGCAGGGACAAATAGCACATCTGTGTGCTCTGCTCAGCTACACTGCATGTGACCTGCACAACACTGTGCCAAGTGCAATTTAACTATAGTGTTCCTTGTGTGCACTTTTTGTGATGCATTGGTGGGTTCATTCTGTGATGCATTGGTGGGTTCAACAAGGACTAACAGCTCCTAGTAGCAGTAATACCTTAAATAAAATATTTATTCACATCGGGATTGTTTCGGGCTGAGCACACAAATGAAATGGGTTGGTCAGGCTGGAACTGAATTGGTCTTTATGTCAATGTGGCCAGTTTTGGTCTGGCTGGATGTTCTGGGCCCGGTCTTTACTTCTGTCTATAACTCCTGGTCAGCAGGGTGAACTAAACACCCTGGAACATTGTTTAAACATGTCCCTTGAGAGTTATAATATCTTTTCCACGGTAGCGTTCTCTCCTCGCGACAGGTTCTGGTACTCTTGCCTGTATTGTTTCTTTAATTTTTGTTGGCTTGCGATACTCTCTCATGGTCCTTGGGTGAAAGTCTTCACTAAGCAACTAGAAATGTTCCTTTTTTCACTATGCCTCTAACATGGCCACACTCTTCACTTGTAACCTCGAAAATCTTCAACAACTAGCTAGGCAAGCTATTTGTTAAGATGTGAGTCACTAACAATCAAACCTCTTGTGTCTTTTAGCCATAAGGTGATGTTGGTTGCAGCACTCTCTTGATGTGATTTATGTTCTAAAGAAAACTGCATGAATTTCTTTTGTTTTGTTAAACTTACCAAAATGCTTCAGATCACTTTTGTGCTATATCAGATTCACCTCTTAACTGTCTTCTAGACTGAATACTATGTGCTTTGCTGACATAAATCATGCTTGAAATTTGTGCCCAGATTCAGATTTTGGAGCCTTGGATCTGGCTGAATTTCTTACCTAAACTTGGGCTTAAGAAATAGAACCTGAGGAAAATAGCTAAGGTTTATTTAGGTTTTGAAAATAAAAGCATTACACATTATCTTTCAATATTAGTGCCGAGTTTAGGTTTGCTGTGTAGTATGCCCTGTTTGGATTTCCTGTTTCTGCCGTGCTTCCAGTCCCTTTCAGTTCTACTAACCTTTGATTGCTCCCTCTGCTCTTTCCTTGCTTCCTCTGCAGGAGCCTGTCTCTACTCCCGCCATATACGAGGAGCCTTTTGCTGACTTTAAGGTTATTCTTTTATAAATTCATCTTTGCATGCTCACCCTATACCTTTTTTCCCTCTGCATCTCTCCTCTCTGACACACATCCCTCGTAACACACAGCATCAACTATTTATTATTAAAAATGTTCGATACCCTAGCAGCTGTAAGCAGTGTTTTGTTTTCATAGGCTACTCTGCTCTTCGTAATAAGTGAATGTGTGGGCTGAGTGGAACTCCTTGTGATTTTATTGCTGCTAACATGATGTGATACATAGTGTTATTCAATAAAAACATGTACCTTATAGCAATCTTAGTGGCTGCAAGGTCACTCTTACAACACTCTTTGCCTTGGAAGCTGTTCTCTGAGTAAAGATAACTTAAAGTTAGGTATTCTCAGCAACTGTAAGGCGTTTAGGAATAAGTTAGAGGAACCAAAGAGCTTTGAGAAAGTAAAAGGAAGGTGTTAAGTTCCCCTGCAGTCCATCTATGCAGTAACAGTATGAGAAAGAAGGCTTTAAATAAACATTGTCAATGCATTCTCAGATCTGTGTGCTTTGAAACTTTTGATGCTTATCTGACTGAAGCCCCTCCTTGTCCACCCTGTCAGTTAAGGTGAACACTAATGAATTAGTAGGTTTGCACTTGGTCCATCCTCTATCCATGTCCAGATGATGGACTGAATATAGCTTTCTGAGATGTCCAAAGCTTGGGATACTGTATCTATTTGATTAAGCAGTATCAGATTAAAGGTGGTGAATACATAGATACACCTTTTTCAGATTATTGATTGCTGTTTTTAAAAAAAAACATGTACTTCATTCTTTGCATGGGTTTACTACACAAAATCTCATTGGCATTTGAATTGTTTTACATGATTACAGCATTAAAAGGTTTGTTTGGTAAGAATAGTTATACAATTTTGTGGTAAAAACACTAATAAACCTTCAACACCTTAAAGACTTACTATAGTTGCAGTTGATGCGCTAACCTTATAAAATAGATTTCACAGGAAGTGTTTGATTTTTTTTTTTTTATGCGAAAAAAGAGAGTATGTTGTTTGTCTGAATTTATTTGAAGCATTACAGACATTCCAAGACCTGTTTTGTTATTAATTTATTGCATGCACCGGGTCTAAAGACTCTTCATTCTTCAGAAGCATCATAGAAATCCTCTGCAAAAAAATGGACCCCTCTCCCAACTCCCTGCCATATCTATCCTCCAAGTGAGTCATATTATAACGTGGAGGCGATCCTTTGTCTGTACTTACACCAGAGAGAGCCTGGGGAAAGGCGTCCTCAACCGAGCCTTGCCTCGGAGGAGGAGCAGGAGCGAGATACTCTGGCTTCCATGAAGGAAACACAGCTGGGCATTGAGCGCAAATGCTCCAGCATGACGGTCAGCTCCACATCGAGCCTGGAGGCAGAGGTGGACTTCACCATCATCACAGACCTCCACTCGGGAATGGAGGACTTTTCTAAGGGGCTGTCAGAGATGGGAGAGAGGGAGCGGCACCCAGAGGTTGGACGGGAAGACTTTGAGGAGACTTCCAGGTTCTACTCTGCCCGTCTGATGGGCTCCAGGGATAAGTTCCCTATGGAGGAGAGGCTTCCTGAGGAGGGAACCCATCATGAGGTAGATGGATGAAAAAATATCTTCCCTCATCCTCATCATCTCATGCTGGATTCATCCTACCTTGCTGGAAATGCTGCCATGTTTGCTTGCTGAGTTCAAATTTTGTTTTTTATTTGTTTTTCAATATTTCATGTTTGGTTTATTTCATGTAGGGTTTTTTTTTTTTTTTTTAATCCTCCAGCCTTAATTAAAGCTTTGTTTCTGTGTTTAATCCACATTTATTTTTTAAACTCAACATTGCCCTGAATTTTACATTCCTTACATCATCATTTTGCTGTTATTTATTTGCAAAAACAAAAATAAAATAATCATTTTACATTTTTTTTCTTTGAGTAAAGTGTTATTTGTCTTCCTTTAAACAGCAGGGGTAAATAGCTGGCTTCTGATTGTAGTAAATATACCGTGTTCTTTCCACAGCCTCCAGTGGCAAAGAAAGACGCCAATGCTGTGAGTGTGGCCCACAAGCTAAAGAGGGCAGACACCCGGACGGAAACGCACACCAACGGATCAGAGGTTCACCAGAACATCATTGATGTCTCACCACAGGTTAGTAACACCAGACAAACCTGTGTTTTATTTGGATTTTATACAGAGAGCAACGCAGTAGGTGGTTGGATACATGGCTCTTAAAGTTTTAATGAAAACAATACTTCCGAAAGGTTTTGGGTTACTTTGTATCCCGACTTCTTCAGTTTGATACCCCTAAAATGAATACAGAAAGCATTCAGTGAAACAGGCCTATTAGTGTTTAGTTAAATCTCAATATTAATCCAGCTGTTTTGTGAGCCATATGTGAATCGTGCTACTAGATAGAACAGAGGTGTTGTCAAACAGCAGCACCGCATGGAGAGCAGAGCTGTGATCGGGGAGTTGAAAAATCAGAACTTTTCTATTATATGGTGTTGCAGCAACCAATCAGGGACTGGTTGTGACATATGTTAAATAAGTCCTTCTGAGACAAAGATTTTGTCAGTTAACAATGAATAAAAATGTTAAGAAGGATAAAAATAATTAATCATCTGTAGAGCTTTTAGTTGGATTTAAAAATAATCCATTCTAATTTAGCCCTAGAAGGACTGTTAAAGCCGTCCCTTATCTCCAGCAAAGATCCCAGTCTGTCGCTGCCCACTCCCTTGCATTGATGCTTTCTGTGAAGGTAGATTTACAAGGAAGTACTGCTGAATGCAGCCAACATTCAGATGTATCACTGGATGAACCAAAGTGGACTCTTTTTTTCAGGGTTTCCCTTGCTTTTCCAAAAACTGAACGTCTCTCCAGATCATCAAAATAAGTGGTCCTCCTGACTGGCTGTGCTACCTGCTTGTCTCCATTTTCACTTACCGGTTTATGAGTGATGCAAACAGCAACTTTTAACAGAGCGTACGCAAGGAGAAATGGGTTCACGCATGCTCTCACGCGCGTTTAATAGGCGTTCCCTCTTGGGAGTAAGTACAAGGTTGTGCATGTGCATTATTATTTACTTTTAAGTGGAGAGGGTGGGTGATAAAAAAAAAAAAACTTTAAAATTCTCTACAATAAATGCTCCTGTTAAAAGATTAAATAAAATACTCATTTTATTATCAGTTATTGTACGTTCCACATTTGGGGAATCATTAATAGCTTTGACTGAGGGGGTATTCATTGTAAGGCAAAATGCCCAAAGGGGTACACAAATCAAAAAAGGTTGGGAACAATGGACTTAAAGACTCCTAATAGTAATAAAATAATAGTAATAAATAGTAAAACAGCAATTTTTTTAAGCTACTTTGATAGTTAAAAGTTGATTTTAACACTTTTACCTTTATGATAATAAAATGTCTGACATATTTTATTTATAAACCCTAATATAGAAGGCTTTGGAGAGGGTAAAATGAGTAACTGAATTCAGTTTGCCCCAGCTGCTTCATTACTTAGACAGCACAAAGATATTATGTGAAAGAATGACATTTTTTGTTTGAGAAAATCTGCAACTTAATAAATATCTTTTTTCTACAAGGCTCTGTGATACTGAAGGCATAGTCCCAAAGAAATGAGGAATGTAATAGCATCATTAAGGAGTGATTAAAGTATTGACAGTATATTAACGAGAGGGATGAAAGCAGGTGTGACTGCCATTCATCTCCGGAAGCGGAGAAATGAGTGCAGACTGGCTGTCCCACAGGTGCCTTATTAAAATGTACTCATGGCCAGGCTCTTTAGCCATTCAGCTAATGGTGTGGATTTGCTCAGGAGATGATGGAGAGAGAGAGAGGGCCCTTTGAAGTGGCACAACAGTGCTGAGTCATAGCTTTAAAGTTCTCAGAGTAAGCCTGAGTGCTCTGTGTGGGTGTGTGTATGCTCCTATTTTGCATGTTCTCACTTGTTCAGGTTTAGGACTGAGTTGTGAATTGAGTATATAGGTTAGGGGTAGGTATGCTCTGGTTATGGTTAGGTTTATTTCTAGTGTTAGAGCATTGAAAAGGTTAAAAATAACTTAAAATAACTGGAAGTCAGTGGCAGTCACATGCTCCTCACTACATAAAGCAGTAAATGGAGAATGAGATTGTCTTAAAATGGATAAAGATCTGCACTAATGTTTGGTGGCCAGCAGGGGGGAGTATTTCACAATATTACACGTTGCTTCTTGCTGTCTCTGGATTTTATAACAGCCTTTAAATCATATTCAGCTCCTCACTACACAATAAAATCAAACATGTTTGCTTTTAAATATTATGTTTATACAAGAGGACATAGAATGATTATATAGGGTATTTGGTACTGGTCCTTAAGGTCTCTGAATATGGTGTGTAACATTGGTTGGGCTGAAAATGGCATATTTGCTGTTCTATGAGCCTTAATGTAAGCCTGGTTAAAAGCCCCAGAATGAAACGACAGGTTTTCTTCCTTTTATGGTATGCTATGAATATTTAGATGAGCTGTGCGCTGATTGGTTTACAATATGCAAAGCTGCATCATCATAGCAACAAGCACTCACTCACTGAAACAGACATAAAGAGATTGTTGATATGGTAGGGTGACTGGACGCCCCTTTTTCATGGACATGTCCTACTTTTCATACCTAAAAAAATGTCCGAAAGGAATTTTAAAATTGCAGCAGAACCGAGCCATGAGCTCCGGGGCTGGTCCAGGGCAGGGAGCCAGCGGAGGATTGAGCGACCGGTGACGTAGCCTGGACACCAGCGAATTCTCTTGATATTAAAATTTTTTAACTACAACCTAAAACAGCACAGCAATTTAGAGTTACACTTTCTTAGCAATGCAGTGTGTCTTAGGATCTTCATCTTCAGCTTTATTTATATTATTCTTACTGTCAGCCAGAAGAAAGATAAAAAATGCATTATTATTTGTACAATGGCCAACAATCAGCTGTGGGATCATGGTGAATAATTTAGGCTGGATGCAGTGATAAGACCTGAACCTGTTCTTTTTCGGGTGGCTCATCAAAACAAGTGGTCCTCCTAATTCTCAATCATTCTGGTGATATGTTTATGTCAGGCCGTCCTAGGTGCTCGTCCGCATTTTCACTTACCGGTGGTGAGTCTGACAGTGAAAAAATTGCAAATCTTCTTTTTGAAACTAAGCTTGTATGAGCGATGCAAACAGCAACTTTTAAACAGCACATGGAGAAATGGGCTTGGGAGCGCCTTCTATCACCTAAAGAAAATCACCAAAAATTTCTCAGCAAGACGTTGGAAAACTAATTCATGCGTTCATGGCTAGTAGAACTGATTGCTTTTATGGTCTCTTCTTTTTCTTATTTACGCCAAATTGAATTGACTTGCCACTTAAATCTGCTATATGAATAAACTTGCCTTGCCTTGTTTAGGAGCTTGTTAGTTTCCAGTATACTCAGATCTATACCAGACCCCAAAAGTACTAATCAATGACAAATATTTTAGCTAACAACCACTGACCTAGACTTAAAAGAACCAAGACATTTAATACTTAGTTGTTTTTTTTTTATCAGGTTCTGTTGAAGATACTTTGCCATAAGAAACATATTGTTCCTACATGTATAAGGCTTGATAAGTGCATTCTTGGGCAGAAAAACTTTCAAAATGCACTTTCTTTTCAATATATCAACACATTTGTTGTTGGTTAAATAAATATTTTCTGTTTAGACTTGAACAATCAATGTATAATGAATTCTGTCTGGAGAGCAAACAAATTAATTTGTGTTGTTTTGTGTTCTTATTTGTATGGAGCAATCATCCTGCTGGTAGGAGATAAAAAGCCTTAATCAGGACTTTTTCTGTCTCTCACTTTTAGAACCCTTCAATTGTCAGCTCCACGGAAGCTTCTGTTGTTCCCAAGGAAAATGGCTCCCCTGTAAGTACCTTTGTAGAGGACATCCATCACATTGACACTAATTTATGAGTCTGTATGTTGGCTCTGCTGTAGTCTTGACCTCTTTTTGAGTGAGTGTCCAAATGAATCACCTTATGTGAGCCGCAGCATTGTCACTTACTTTTATGGTAATGGTTCATGTCATGAATTTATATGCCTAAATGAGTTTCAGCTAACACATTATTCTGAATAATTGTTCTGTTTTTCAGCAGATGCTTTTCCTTTCCATCAATTATTTCTGCTTTTGCTTAAATTGTCGCCTAACAAAAAGTTATTTGAACATAATTTACAAATATGTAAAACATGAAGACTTAGTTTGATTTCTCTGTAACAGGAGCCAAAAGTGAACCTATTTGGACACGAGGAACAGGCTTTTGAGTAGAACTTGAAACTTTGTAACAGAAAGAATTGTCAATTTTAGGCCTGAATTATGGAAACAGACTTACATCTGACTGACAGACTTAGAAAGTTGCATTTTACTAAGATCCAATGACCCATCCATCATATTTAGCTGTTCAGTACAATACGTTTTTGTTTGCATCACCTAATATTTATTAGTAAGTAGCATTTCTCTCTAATTCCTCTTGTCTTATTTGATTTTAGGCCAATGTGAAGTTCTTCTTTGTTTCCTCACAGCTTATGGCTGAAACATATAAATGGTTTAGTTCAAAAAATGTATTGGAATTCCTCATCAGTTTGTTGTTTGGGCCCTCTTTCTACTGGACTATTATTTTATTGACAGTTATTTAAATACATGGTAGCAAATCATTATCATCTGGTTTCAGTAAAAAAAAAAAAATATGATGGGAACTCCATTATTTTCTTTACTTCCTTTCTGGTTGTCCTGCAATTATTTTGGTTCAATTTAAATTAAATTTTTATCAAAGATTGCTTCCTTAAAATCGATGGAGTTTTCATATCTTTATTTGAGGTTTCTGCAACTGTATGATCAGTTTCCATCTATGTTAGAGGAAACACCTTTATATATCAGCAGATAAGATGCGGATACAGGTTTTGATTTGTATAGTTGCATTGTTCTTCCATTTTGTGCAGCATTCTAACATGTTGCACATTTTTTGTGGGGTAAAGTCAGATGAAATAATGGTCACAAAATCTAAAAATCTATTTTACTACAATCCCTCGAAGATGATCATTCTAAGCCTACAAGCAAAATTAAAGTTTTTTGTAATTGTTGCCCTGTAAGTTGTTGTTTACACCTTTACGTTTATACTGCACCCTAAAAAAAGCATAAAACAAGTTAATTTGGTCTTCCAGCAACAAGTCTATGCACATTTTGGAGGTCCAAGTGGCCAATGTTTAAATTCATGACCGTGAATGTAAATCTGTTTGAAGGTATAGATATTTCAGTTACTTGAAATGCTTTAAGCTGCAGCTTCATACCCAAGAGCATTTCAGTAAATCACTTGGGGTGCTGCCTGTACGTTGTGGATGTGATGAGGTGGCATAAAGCCAGTGAAGCCAGGTCTCTGTCAGACTCTCTAATGTCCAAACATGCAGGTGCACATGGGCCACATGTTTTATAACCCAGTAATGTTCTTACTGGATTCCACCGTGCATTACCCCAGACCCCCATATGCTGCAAGCATGGGTTCAGCCATTAGTCACCTCTTTTATGACATGAAGATTTATCTATGTGCAAACTAGTCAGAGAACTGTTGCTCTCTCTCAAGCCTAATGGAAAGCTCTTATGCTCTTGATGCACCCCAGAATAACTATTTTAGAACAAGCAAGAGCTAAGAAAAATAAATGGATTGATTAATTATTAGAAGTTACAATAACAAGGGCCCTTTTAGAAGATTTTGTCACTTAAAATGTGTTTTTTTCTGTGTTCAAAACATTTGTTTATCAATGTTAATTAATTAAAGTATTTTTTTTTTTTAGATTAATCAGATAAACATGAAAGTTATCAATAGATTATGCTAAAATAAGAAATAGTTACAACCTTAAAAAAATAGGTTCTAGCTGATAGTACTGCCATTAGTATTTCCAGCATAATAATTATCTAAAGTGAGATCCTCCTGTTCATTAGGGTATAAGAAACCCCCTCATGTCTGTGTGACCTCTATGGGTCCAGGGACCCTTGACTAGCACAGCGAAATACTGTATGATGATCACGTTGAAAGTGTGTAAGAGTCTGCTATAATTACTGTCCTGCAGGTAAAAGCAAGTTCCCAAGGGAGGGAGTCTGTTGTGTCTCCTCTGACCATCACGGCTGAAAGTATCACATCAGCGACCACAACACAAGTTACCAAGGTAACACCATCTTTGTATCCTTGGTTACGGTTCAATCACTGGACTTGTATCCTGGTGAAATGGTAATCTCTTTCATAGATAAGAGGATGCAGCTGTTTAAGAAGGAGGTTCAGCCCAGTATCTCATGCTCAGTTTGGGTCACTTTAAGTTTTACACACTCTATACTATTCTTTCCCCACTTTAAGCACTGGACTGGACCTCAATTTTAGGGAAAAAGGTCTAAGATTGAGAGTCAAGCTATCGGCAGATCAAAACAGATTCCGGTTCCCACCATATTATAAGAACTTCACTGTTAAGGAATGTCAGAGGGTTAATACTTTATGTCTTTTTTTTACTTTACTTTTAAAAAGCATGATACATTTATTACTGGTTCAGCTTTAGTTTAAATAAGTGGAGTACTGAAACAATCATGTAATGTTTGCAAAAACTGCTTGGACAGTTTGAAAAGTGATTTCAGTTAAAATAAACAGAGATCCAGTTTGGGAACTAGTCCTGCTTTGACAAGCCATGAGCCTAACCTTCTAGGAATTTTTTTGTATCAGTTTCTAGAACCATAGTTTGTTTGACTCCTATGAATTGAACACTAATAGAAGAGTAAATAAGGGGTTTTATTGGATATCTGAGATGAATTTTAAGTAGGAATTGATTTATCCATGTGCCGTTATCATGATAAAAATGAAATCATAGTACTTGAACGGTTTAACCATGTGTCATATCACATCCACATATTTTAAAGGAGATAGCTACAGGTTTAATTAGAACAAATGGCTTTTTCTAATGCCAACCCCCAATAAACTTTAACAAACATTTGACGTAACTTTAAACCTTGTTGAACTTGTTTTACTTCTTGTTTGATCTACTTAATTCTAGGATTGAGTATTTTGCAAGGATTTTGCAATACGATACGCATTATGATACTTAAGTCACGATACAATATTATCACAATATCTGAATATCACAATATATAGCATTATTCTTCCCAGCTGATATTAAAGTAAAATTTAAAGACGAAAAAGCAAGTTCTATATATGTTTATTGGAAGATAATTAGCATTCAGTTTTTTAATTTTTTTTATTTTAGCCATATTGTCTTGAGTCAGTCTACATCTGCCAGTGTGACTGCCTCTATTACAGAAATGGCGATGCACCACACAGCAAAAGGGCTGAATGGTGCCATCTACCGGACTAGCTGCATCAAAGTAGCACGCTTCTCCTAAATTTTTTAATCGATAGCAGAAACTGAAAGATTGATATATCGGGCAGCCAAAAATTGCGATATATTGCCAAAATAATTTTTTTTTCCCCACACCTCTACCTAATTCTGAGAAATCCAAAACTAGGAAGAAATTATATTTTCAGAGCCATCACAGAGCTCCATTTCACCTTTCTTATTTTCACCATCATCATATGACATTGTTTCACTACAGTTGAATCCATTACCTCATCACTATTAATTTTTAATGCAGCCACTGGAAGTTCAATCCAACTGCAACACACTATAGGTGTGTTCGTTTTTGGAAGCTGCATCCTCCAAGTTGATTAGTAAGATTAAACTATGAATAGCAAAACTCAAATAATATAGCTGAGTACTTCCTCTACCACTGTCTCTAGGTTCTTGGAGTCTCTAGCAGTTCATGCTCTCCTTGTGCTCTCAGATAATATTGGGCAGGATTCAAATGCATGGCACATTTCTCAAACGTCTATTAGTGAAAAAGGTTTAATAGTGCAATTTTTTCTGCTTTTAATTCTCAGTTTTGCACTATTTTGTGTTGGTCTGGGACATCAATATCCAACAAAATACATTCAAGTTTGTGGTTGTAATATGAATAAAAGTAGAAAACTAAGGCTTTTGAATACCTTTGGAAGGCATGCATATTTTTTAGAATAAGCCAACTTTCTGGCTATTGATTTCTGTTTATGCTCTACAGACTGTAAAAGGAGGTTATTCAGAGACCAGAATTGAAAAAAGGATCATAATCACTGGAGACGAGGATGTGGACCAGCATCAGGTGAGAGAGAGACATAGTTTCCAGGAAACATTTGATCAGTTTGTCCGAATTTAGTTGTTGAAAACACCTATGGTTAACAAGCACTGATGATCTGTTTGGTGTTTTCATGGCTCCAGGCACTCGCCATGGCGATCCAGGAGGCTAAGCAGCAGCATCCCGACATGCTGGTGACGAAAGCAGTGGTTATCAGGGAAACAGAGTCTCCCACAGAGGATCTGCAGCGGAAAGCAGAGGTACCTGGCAGATAGGAGAGAAGGTCACTAGGTTTCATTACTTTAGGGTCAAGTGGTACCAGCTAGGCTCAGGGTGTTTCTCTGATGCTAATGACTTTAACAGAAATAGTGGCTGGAATACAGAGAGATGCAAAAAAAAAGGAGTGAGGCTAAAATAGGATCCAGTGTGGACGTGTAGCATGCTAAAGCTCTTTTGACTTTAGCAGTTAGAATTGTGCATGTTCCGAAAAAGTCTGGAAATGCATGGGATTTTATTTAAGGTATGAAGAAGAAAGACTGAAAATAGATGTTTTTTAAACTACCCTCTTGAAAATTCTCCTAAAAACATTTTGTCTCTCGGCAGTGCTGATCCAACACAACGGCCTCTGAGATGGGGTTGGAGGGAGACCAGAGAGAATCCTCCAGCAGAGAGTCTCCCTCCCCACCAAACTGAACATGACCACCCTCAAAGAGAGGACTCTCTACCCCCCCACTGTGTACTCATAGACCCCTGAACAGACTGCGTTCCATGAAGCAGCAGATTTCCTGTCTTTTCCCTTTAGACGAAACCAACTGTGACCTGGTCTGGACCCCCTGTCCCGTCCAGCATCATTCCAGTCCTCCAGCTTCTTTGGAAACAGGAACCGTCTTTTGTTGGAGGATTCAGCTCGGAATCGGACGTGTTTTGGCTTGTTTGCACCAACGACCCCCCTCCTCAGAAAGGACTTCTTCCTGTTCAAACATCTGCAGTCTTATTGTCTTCACCTTTCTCGCTTCGGTTTGATTAACTGCTGTCTTATTAGCTTTTTACATTTTTACCTATAGAGGATCTAATTTATGTTCAGTGTTTGCCTGTTTATGAATTATATCAGATTATTATAGTCTGCATGATTCAAATAATAATAGCAGAGGAAATGAGAAAGAATACCTACACAGACAGGTTCCATAAAAACACTGTCAGGGTCTGGTACCAGCCTCCATTTACAGAACATCCTTGTCCTCATCCCAACCTGACTTTGAGCTTTTAGTGACAGCAACAATGGAGATGCTGCTCACCTTGTTAGGTTTTGTAGAGAAATTTTTAATATAAATATTACGTGCTCTAAGTTTTGCAGATTTGATGGTATATTTTTACTTTTTATTTACTTGACTTTGGTTTAATCTGAATTTCTTGTGTTTTTTAAATTTTTAAGTTGTTTTTTTTTTTTTTTCTTGTTGACTCTTCTAAATGCTGTTACACTGGAGATTATTGTGTGTCTTGGGGAAACGTTGCTAGGTATTGGCCGGTTGCCATTATCAGGGTTGACCAAGTAGTTGTCAAAATAACTACAATTTTCCACCGTAATGTTTCAGCCCATTTAGATGCTTTTAATACATAATACATACAAAAGTTACACTGGAGTTTAATTCAGAGTTCTGTTGCTGCACACTGACAGCCAGATGGCTGAAAAATGGCGCATATGTTAGTCTCATACTTGCACAAATGACTTGTTTTAAGAAAACCCACTAGAGTTATGGAACTTAAAGCAGAACCTCCATCAATGTAATGTTATTTTAAAACTCATTGGTTCAAACTGGTTGGAAAATAATTACAAACAAAAGCATTTAGTTCAAGTAATTTCTTTTTGTATTAAACTTTCCCAATCCTGCAGTCAAGCTGTCATACGAAGTTATCTGATTGACTCATTCCTAGATCTCACTAAGAAACTGTGAATCTATCTTAACTTGTCGTTCAGGTTTATTAGGCCACTTAGATGGCTCAGCACTAACTGCTGCCCAAAAAAGCGACCTCCTTCAGTCTATGCAATATTTGGAGGTGATCGCTACTTCTACCCAGCTAAAAACCCTGGTTTTGTCCATATTTAACCACACTGTAAGATTTTGTGAATCAAAATTAGCATTAAGTGGAAGTCTTGTGTCTGGTCAGTACACAGAATGTTTTGGTTATTTTCAGCTATAAATATATTACTCTTAACTGATGCTGTTCATCCTGCTAACCTTTTTTGGAGCAAGAATAAGTAGCCGATCCTATTTCAAGCATTTCGTGGTATGATAATCAAATCTTTTCAAAATAACAATACAAACTAGTATAGTTTGGATCATATTATTTTAACACACTCCTTGTAAAGTAAAAAAAAAAAAAAAAAGCACCAGACTTGTATGACTTTCTCTCTCATTTCTGTTAAATGAACTTATGCTGTCATGGTGTGGACTTTGGGTTTATATTTTAAAGCAGCAGTGTATGTTGAAGTTCTCCCTAGAGATACAGTGTTGTGCAAAAGTATTAAATCCCCTAGAACCTTTAAACATGTCACATTACAAATGATTTTATTAAGGGAAGTAAAAATAAATGGGCGAATACATGTGCACACCAGACTTAAGGTTTCTGTGGTTCTACGATGAAATAGGTTGAAAACAAATCCTGTAAAGCTGAGAGCATACAGGCCGATCCATATAAAGCATAGCGTGTTGCCCTGTCACATACATCATTATGTTCTGAGTGACCTTTAATGCTATACTATGCATCACAAATCAGTCATGAGAATCCCTGATTGAGCCCTAACCTTTGTTAATCCTAATTGAGTCTGTGCTACTGTTAGTCGAGGCAGTAAAGCTCTCTGCTTGTGAGGTTTTGCAATAAGCTGCCATCTTTCCCCATCTTCTGTCCTCTGAAGGGAGAAAACTGTGAACTCTCACATGTACCGAAGCGTAACCAAAACCGAATAATAACAATGCACAGCTGTGGAGTGAGGAGCTTTTCCAGCATGTGTGACCATGCTTTGTGGCCCTCAATCATCCCCCACTACCCCCACATGAAACTATTGACCTGCTCCAGACACACCTGTGGACACAAGAGTCCAGACCTGCTACCTTGTATATTCTATTTTACTCTGTTTTATTTTCTATTGGTCACATGACACTGGACTGTTGTGAAGGCAGAGTTTGGAGCAGATGCTTTGTAAACTAATTAGGAAGCTGCTCCTGGAATAATTAAGGCATCAAGAAGAAAAACTTAGAGCTGCAGTATGAAGGTTTGGATTTCTTTTGTATTTTCGTCAAACAGTTGATGCATTGGGTGCAATAGAGAGAAGAATACAAATGGGTGCCTTAAGTTTTGGGTTGATTTTTATGGAAGTAGGAGCAGAGCCTATTAGCTGAAAGTTTCTAAGATGAGAAAGAGGTTATCTAGAAAGAACTACTGACATTAGAAAATTGGGAAAAGGAACGAAATAATGTCCTGATACGGGGGAATGCATTTGTTGAAACTATCACCATGAGGATAAGCAGTGTATCCACAGTGAAGGCCATTAAACTGCTGTGCCACTAAGCCTCCACCTTCAGTTCTCCACTGCCGTTAGCTCTACATTCCCCTAGTGCTTGGTGGTGTGTATGTGCTGTGTTTGCATTCAGTTCTGACAGGAAATATACCTGCATCAATAAATGTCTCACTATGATTCAAACCATGTCTCTGCTTCTGAAATGAAAGGGCACAGATGGGGGTGGGAATGTTAAAATAATGGTCTCCTTTGTGACTATTATGTGACAATGTTGGCAAAAAAAAATGTGTTCTACAAAATGCACTGAAAGGAAAATGAGTTTTCTTTCACTGCCATCATGTGGTGAGGTTTCTAAACCAAAGCAGAAAAGCAGGCCAGATTATTTCTAAGCCCTTGCTGCCATCTAGTGTTTTTTTGTGGAGCCAACCAAGCAAAAGACCAAACCTCAGGAAAACAGTAGCATACAGTGGTCTGCTAAAGCATTAATATGCCTTACATTTTTAGAGGTTTTATACAAAAAAAGTATTTATTGTATTCCATAAAATCCCCAAAAGGTACAAGATTTGCTATTATAACAATTGAAAAAATGTAGAAAACTTGGTATGAATTATTTTCCAAGAAGAGATAAATAATAAATGAAATGTTGCATTACGTTTGTTGCAGGAAGCAGACATAATGGAAGTCTCATAGCTCCGAACCTTGGTTTAATTGGCCTAAATTGCATAAAAAGTACTTAGGAACTTCCTTTCCCCTGTTCCTTTGGGTCAGACCTTTGAAAGGCAACATAAACTAATTCAAACACAAATAGCTTTTTCTTTTCACACCAGCTGGCTTCCATTCTCAAGGAGTACTTAGAGAGGAAACACAAAGAAAAGAACATTCATAGAGCTTTGTGGGGAAATAAAGTTAGTGTATATTTCTTAGTGGTGAAACTGCCTTTATCAAAGTAAGGACAATTTAAGTCTGTTAGTTTTTTTTTTTTTTTTTTTTTACATTTCCATAAACTTAAACGTCCTTTAAGGAAAAGAACCTAATAAATTCATAATAGTTTAAAAAATGTACAGTTTCACTCAATTTCTAATTTTGCATATGAAATAAAAGGTCTTATTGATCATTTCTGATGAAAAAAAAATAATAATAAAACCAAAAACGAAACTAATAATTATAATTAAAGTCTGGATTATGAATTGATGGAAAATTTTATTGTTTTAAAATCAGAGTTTTCATCAAACTTTCTGACGAATGAAATAAAAACATACATTTTTAATTATTTAAATTAGATGATTTTTTTTTCATTAGATGATTGTTTTGATGATTGTTTTGTTCATCTACAAGTAACTGTGTTCTTTGTGAGGATTGGGTACCTCCTAACACTCTGCCCTATACAGAAAATGGCATTGTGATGTAGCCTATTGTTAAAACTTGGGTCTTAAATAATTGATATTTTAGAAAGAGAGGCTCATGGAAGAAAGGTTTCTGTGGTATTTTCATGTTTGCATGAAAAAGGTCTCTGGTTCAAAGTCGGGCTAAAACAAGTGGTCAAGATTCTGTAAATCTTTCAATAACTGGGCTAATAAGGAAATCTGTGGTGCATTCGTCAGAAAATCGGATCTGCATTCAAGTCTCAGTAGAAGCTTAATCATGGCCTTATTTGATTTGCCCAAGCATCACTTTAAAGGAAATCAGCTCTTTAACTGTTTTATATTGCACTAAATCATATAGCTAACCCAGAAAGCAGCTCTTCATTTATAACATGTAGACTGGTTGGTATCAACAGACTCACAGCTTTGTGTTGTTCTATAAATCAGTTTCTTTATTCACACAGTATAAACAACAAACAGCAACAGAGGGACGCCTCCTGCGGAGAGTATACAGACAGTGAAAGCAGTACATCTCTGAAGGGCTGATTTAGACAGAAGCAAAGACACGGGGCTGATAATGCTTCAGCACACAGAAACCTACCAGATGCATGGACCTCACATGTTCCTAAAGCCATTCAGTCGCTTTGCAGGTGGACAGTAGAAAGACGACAGTCATGTACAAGTACAGTCATGCTGAGCAACAGTTTACAGTATGAAACAAGAGTTGTTTACATAAAAACCGAGTAAATCATCTCTTTAGAAAGGTTTCTTTTCATATAAATGATCTGAAGTGTACAAAACGGTATATTACACATTTTTGATGCATGATCCCCAGTAGCATACAGTACACTTCCCTTCAAAGTACTACAAACTACTTAACTGGATTACAAGCTACAATGAGACTGCAGCGTACTCCAGGTGGCACAGCAGTCCCAAATGGCATCAGGAGACTATGGAAAAAAGGAAAACATCAGCAGCATTGTCTTAAGATCATCTGCCTAGAAAAAATTCACCCAACCTTTATAGGCCGGCAAATTTCCCAGATAAACAGCAAAATGCCGCTCAAACCTCTGTAACGTCGGCAAAGGATGTGCTCCAACTCCCAAAACCCTAATGTTAATATCATTCCAGCAGAGCTTGAACACTGCTGCCGCTGCTGCTTCAAAGTTATATGCTTTTAGTGTTTCTTGACATACACGCATAAGTTAAGGCTCTTTAAGGACCTGAGGATTCTGAACATATGATGAGGCACACAGAAGGCAAAGAATAGCTCTAGACACAGGGCTAACTGAAAGAATGAGGGGCATGAGAGGCAGCCATGAGGGTACTGCAATCAGTAGAGATGAGGGATCGCGGTGCAGAACCGAGAGGAGAGAGGCCCTACATACCATCTTTAACAACCTGTTTCATAAGGACTAGTTGAAGCACTTCATCAGATTTAGGATATTTGAATTAGCTTGGAAGGAATTCACAGAAAATATGCTAATGCTTTAGCCTCCAGTGTCCATCGCTGCTATTTTAAAGGTTCAGATTTCCTAAAAAACATGTCTGCGTATTCAAGAAAAATATACATTTTAAGTAAAATAAGATAAGTGAGAGGTATCATGTTTGATATTATTCCTTTTATCAAATTATCTTATATGTGACAACAGATATGAAAAATACTACTAGAACCATCCTTAAAAAAAATGCTTCATATTTGTCTTTCAAAGGGATGTATAGGTGTCCAACTTTGTCCTTTTACTTGAAAGCCTTAAGAAAACAATTATAAATTGAGGCTACACTCACTGTAATCATTCCTTCTGTTAAAAACAAATTATTTGGTTATTAAAGAATCAGGTTTGAAAACTCTATTCTCTATCTTATTATATATTTGGTATCTGCCTTGAGATCCATTGTTTTTTTTTTTTCAGATGCACTGCTTTAACTCAACAGCTCTCCAGAATTATCCTCCCACAGGTCTTTCCCTGTAGCACATGCATTCTTAGTCCCAGCTGAACCAGGCTACCTGAATATTTTACATGTCAGAAAATGTTTATTTACACAACCACTACTCAAAAACAGCTGCAGCAACCAGATATAACATTCTCTAATGTCATGCTACATTATGCAGTCTGCAATGATGAAGAAACACTCGCCTCTACATGAATATACATAAATTCTGCTAATAATTATAGTGAAATGACTGAGCTTTCATCCGCAGATGGTCTAGTCATTGATAACTATAAATAAAAGCAAAAAAGGACTGGCATACACCGCAAGATAGGAAATAGTTTAGAAGCAGATTTGGGGCTTTTACCTTTGTTGATATACAACAATAAGTATATATGAACATTGTTTTTCACCCAAGTCTCTTACAGGTCAGTGGGCACAAACACGCGAAGAAGGTTTGGAATGAAACAGAAAATATCTGTGGAATCTGACGAGGTTCAGTGCCTACAGGGCATAAAACTGACATGCACACTAACTCAATAGTCTCCCTTCACCACTTTACAGTTCAGAAATCACACTTAAAGTTATAAATCTAAGGGGAGCTGCTTTGACATGTTGCTTGGATGTCTCTCTTTTGAAAAACCCACAACTGAAAAAAGAATTAGTAGTCTGAAGTGAGCTTTAAAGCTGGCTTCTTTTAAGTTTCTATAACTAATCAATACCTCACTCAAGCATCTGCTTTGATAAAACCAGATTTTAACTGGAAAACTCATCTGCTTATCAAAAAGGAGACTGCAGGCTGAAATTGGCTGGATTACGCTTCTCACAGACCAACTTTAGATGTATAGGACACTTTTACCTATATGAGCTTAGAAGTATGAACACACTGAATAAGTTCCTACTGGACTCATGAGACTCTCAACTAACAGTAAAGCTTTTACCGTAAAGTATCCTTATAAGAACCTTTTAATTGAACAGAGTTGTTGAAAAATGCCACTGAGGTAAATTGAAGGGATGCTTAAGTTTGAATATTATTTGGTGCAATTAATGTTCTGCTTTTTTAAAGATCAACCCATTGTATAATATGTCCGTTATTTGCATGGTGATAACATGTATAAAGTAAAATTAAAATATGCTGGTGAAGGTTCCCAGTCATCCAGGTCATAGTCATTTGAAAAAAGTAAAAAAACAAACAAAAAAGACTGAACTAAGTTTAAGCTTAAGCTTAAACTTAAGCTTAAGTTATGGCTAAGAAAACATGCAAAGTCTAAGCTATCACATGACTTTGTTGGGCTACTCTATAAAGCTTGGAACTCAATTCTAATCCAGACATTTGGAATTGAAAAAGCTTCCTGGATGGGAAGCGAAAAGTCTTCAGACTTGGAAAACAAAGTCCAGTAATTTGTTTTTTTTTTTAAACTTTTTTTTATAACTTTTTTGAAAGATGTATTAAAACATTTACAACCAAATTTAATGCCAGGTTTTAATGCTTTAATTTAAACTGCCCACTTTTATTATAAACTGACAGAATGGATTACAGGATATAACGTCTTAACAATTATGTTCAATAGGACTAAGATTGGGGGCCTTACAAAAGCTAAATCTTAGTCTTTATTTCTATTCCCAAACCATTTGTATGAGTTTTGTGACGCACTATGAATATTAAAACCTTGTAGAGACCATAGTAGCACAAACTTTCAAAATAAAAGACTACATCCAGATTCAAGATAAACTTTTAAAGGCCATCTTGATACCAGCAAAGCTGACTTGTTTCTTTTGATCAATAGTCATGTTCTTGGCAGAAGAAAGGATAACAGTGAGAATATAGATATATAGGCTCATGCTCTGTCTTCAGAGTATAAATTAACCAGGGAATGGCTTTTAATTCTATTTTACTCTGTTTTAGCAGTAGGCTGAGAACACCTTATAATAGCTCAATCCCACCATGATGTTAGGCAATGTTTAGCTTTGCTTGATGATGTTCATCAGATGCTAAAGCATTAGCATTTACAATCTGATTCCACTCCTCCATTTTATTTGAAAAGTGACAACTGCACCCGAAATCTGAATTACAATATTTATATACAATCTTTAAAAAAGAAAGTACACTCTATTAAAAGTCAAGGCCTTCATGTCTCTTGTATTATCTGTGGATCTGAGGGTGTACTTTGCATTATATATATTTTTTGTTTTTTTACATTTTAAAATTTCCCTTTATTTTTGTTTTTCAAATATTGACTTGGTGGAAAACCGGTAACATTTTTTTTTGTACAGATAATCTAGACCAGCTCCATTGCTTGCAAAGACAGAGGGTGTACTTTCTTTCCAGAAAGACTATAGTACATAAACTGAAATGTAGAAATATCAAAGGTACAAGCTGTATTTTATATTAAAAGACAATGGGCTGTCAACTCATGTGCTTTATCATCAAAATGTAAAACTGGACAATGCCGTTTTCCATGCATTAAACTATTCTCACTCCTGAAGCCAAAGTCATCTCCTAACCCATCAGGAAAACAAAATCTATAAAAGCTCAACATGTCATACAAAAAGATGCATATAAGACTTTTTCCTTTATGTTTCTTTTATGAAAGCTGCTTTGGTAACAACATAGTCACGACATCGGATAATCTCCCTCACCTGGCCTATGAAGCTGACAGGGACACCTTATCTGTCTTCTACATGGCATATTTGAACATTTTTACCCTCAGTGTCTTCCCTCTGTCTCTAAAATCTAAATGGATGTATCTAGTTACACCGGAGTGGGCTCCACTTGTGTTCCCGCCTGAGAGCTGTCTCCACCTTAGATGCAACATCTGCTGGGAGCTGTTTGTCATAAAGATGTCCGTGCTGTGAAAGAGAGAGCTATTGTGCTGAGGGCTGACAGCGTGGAGACCTTGGAGGCTGAGCCGACTGCATTGGGTCCTGAAACGGTGGTCAAAACATAAAGGAAGTTAGTTGGGTCCATACTTGAGGAGAAAGTTACTAACCAGCCTTTCATCTGCAGTGCATTGTCAAAGAACTAATATTGGCACCAGTATTAACATACTTCATTACATTTTTTTTGGATGGATAAAGAAAACAAGTAACATGAATAAAATCCAGAGAAACAAATTACCTTTAGTAAACCCTCTTTGAAGGCAATAGCTAGTTTACCTCCTCCCAGCCAGTAAGGTCCAAACACCTGCTCCCCTGCTCTTGTTTTTAATATTATCTGCAGCTGCTTGGCAGGTCTGCTATTGCTTATGCTAATGCCAACCTTTGATTATGCTCCCTTTTTTTTCTCCCTACTTACATAACTTAAACCTATTATTATATGTGCAGAATCCATTAGTGTCGACATTGGCATCCTAACTAGAAGTAAATATTTTTTTACCCTTTAAAAATTATATAACAATAATTTATATTTTGTATAATCAAAAAAATATATACATTTACTTTTATATTCTGTATCGCTCTTGAATGTAAATTAATAATTTCGATGAAAATGTTAGAAACATGACATTTATAGGTGTAGAGGAGGATTTTTTTTTTCTGGTTGGATCATGAAAATAATTTGTCCTCCTAATTCTCAATCATTCTGGTGATGTGTTGCGTAGTCGTCCTACGTCTTCCACATTTTCACTTGCTGGTGATGAAACTAAGAATGCGGAAAAATTGCAAATCTTCTTTTGTAAAATAAGCTTGGATGAGCGATGCAACAGCAACATTTAAACAGAGCGTGTACGAGGAGAATGGGCTCGTGCATGCTCTCGCATGCGTTTAATAGGCTTTCCCTCTCGGGAGAGCGGGTACAGGGTTGTGCATGCACATTTTTTTTAAAGTGGAGAGGGCGAGTCTTTTAAAAAAATTGCAAAAATCCTCCACTATACCTTTAAAGGAAAAGTACAGTCAGTACTTTAAATATAAAAGTATTAAATACTGTTCAATAAATAATAATTGTTATTAATTAAGAGTAATTTCATTTGAATGTGCTTTACCGCAGACATCCATGTTTGTCAAAGAACACTGCTGCCACCTACTGGTTTGTGATGTCAAGGTGTGGTATCGGCTGCTATACAAGTCCCAGTGCTGTATCTGGTGCTTGTCACAACTCACTTTTATCCAAGTCATATTGAAAACATTCTTCTTCGAAATATTGGCTGCATATTACGTCTTTTTTTCTCTGGTCAGAGTTTCGATTGCAAATTCTCCCTCTTCAAGTTTGCAACCTGTCCTTGGAGGATCATGAATCGGAAAGGTGAAATAACTAATATTCTTTTTCACTTTTACCTGATGTATTACAACATCCAACTGCCATGCACATGGGCATTGTCAGTTTAAGTATAGCTCTCGAGAATTTCAATGTTAAAGTCATTTAAAAATCTTCAATTATTGTTGTTGATTGCAGATATGTCTAGTAGCTCTCATTGATTTTGCTTGTAAAGCGGTGAGAATGGTGCTCGGCTTACTGCACCGTGACATAACTGTGGAGTGAGATGTTACTATATTTGGGCTAAAATGGCTGGTCCAGGAAAATAATTATTTTAATTTTTTTACTGATTAACGCTTAATTCATTTAATCATAGCGAACATATTAGTTCTAGGTATAGATGATGATCCATTGATCATTTCTTGCTGACCGGACTTTTCCTTTAACTACTGTAAACAGTTTCTCCTTCGTCTAAGAAGGCTGATCCAAAAAAGTCCAACAGTTATGAAAGCTTTTGCAAGCTGCTGTATTTAAACTGTGGTCATTTCATGCATACAGAGGAATCTGGAGCGGAAAACTGTTATGGTGAAACATAAAGACTTTAATTCCACAGACTTGCCCTCTAGCAGATATTATTATTACTCTGCTTTCCTCTGGAGATAATGAGGGCTCAACTGTTTTGGGAATAAGATGATTTCTCAGAATAAGATGATTTCTCAGATCAGCCATGTGGAAGTCACTAACTAGCTTTTCTCTGACCTGCTATCCTAGGGATGGTGATCTGCTTGCTGCTGTTCCCGTCTCCTCCCTCTCCAAATGGCTTTATTTGGATGATATATTCCTCATCAGTCGGAAGAGCAAGCTCCACTGAGGTGGTGTTAGTTTCCATGACATTAGGTCGGCTGTGTCGATTCTTCTTGTATAGCACCTGTGGATGAGATTAAATCAAGAGTGGAGCGCGCCATGGCAACAGACAGAACCCTCTGATGAAGTGAAGAAGCTACATGCTCACTTTGTAACCGGTCACTTCTGACTCGTTCTCCAGAGCTTTGACGTGCTCCCAGTTCAGGATAATCTTGGAGTTTGATGTGTTCCACATGACTTTAACCGGAGGCTGGCTGGGAGCTGAGATGAGAGGGGCAAATTATTCACCTAAAACAACAGCTGAGCTTTAAGCCAGCTGCTAATCCATCCAGTCATCATTAGCCCTGAGATAACACACATCAGATAGTTTTTGGTTCAAAAGAAAAATTTAGCTTATATGTTTTGATTTATAGTTTATATTTTATAATCCTATTAGAGTAACTGATAAATGAAGTGGAGGTCAACTATCCATCCAGGGTTACTGTATGCATGAAGCTAGAATAAAATAATTGCCATCATGATCATCATTCCGGTGCAACACTAAAGTCAAGGTGCAATGTGCTAAGAGACCAAATTTTAGTTTATATGAATCATTTTCAACATGTGTGTTTTAGAGAAAATCACTCAAAGTTTTTCTATCAGACAAGAAACAGACCAAGCTTGGAAATATGCTTAATATAGTCCTTTTTCATAGCTAAAAACAGCACATTATCAAGGATATTGGTAGCTTAATGCTGGGTGCTTCATTCACTCCAATTGTACTGCATATTGCACAAACTTTATGTAAGGTTAAGACTGGTTTTTGAATGGACATAACAGACTAAGAGTAGAATTATGGATCCAATAATACAAAGAATGGTGAAATATATCAGCTTGTGTTGAAAGCTGTTTTATTGGAATAAGAATTTGCTTGGAAACTAGCTGAGAAACATTCAATCAATCAAACATAACCTATGTAGGGTTATATTTAAGCCTGCTTCTATATTTTCTTCTGCTGAATCTTATAAAGTATGGAAAATGATGAAAAGACTAACAATAAATATTGAAAAAGTTCTCACTTAAATTCTAAAAAATCCAACACATTCTTACTCCCAACTCGTGAAATATCGATTCTTTGTCAAAACCCTGAAAGCATCAGATAGTGAAGCAAATAACCTGCGTTGAAAATTTTAGCCCAAAAAGTTATTGTTGGTAGCTCTAGGAGCACATGGTAACATTGATACTAGTGTTAACGTTTAGGGGTTTGGGTATTAGATGTGCTAGTTTTAGCTTTGCAGTTTGCATTTCATGCATCCCTACCATAAACTCTCACGCACCCTTATTAATTAATAATTGACGAGTGGGCTATCCCTATCGAGTCAGTATCTGGAGTGCAGGGGGCTTGACCAAACGTCAATTTTTAACAAGCTGGGAGTGAGACTGCATTAAAAAAAATCAGAATTTCTGAAAACTAAAATTGGTGTGGTGTCTGCTGTGAAGTGGGTGCTGTACTGGTCTGTTGTGTTGAACGGAGGAGCTGAGCCAAAAGGTAAAGCTCTCGCTTTCATGAGCTCATGAGCTTTGGGCCATGACTGAAAGAAAAAGATAAGCGGCTGAAATTAGTTTTCTCCATAGTGTGTCTTGGCTCTCCCTTAGAGATAGGGTGAGGAGCTCAGTCATCTGGGGAGGGCTCAAAATACAGCCGCTGCTCCTCAACGTCGAGAGGAGCCAGTTGAGTTGGCTTGGGCATCTGGTTAGGATAGCTCCTGGACGCCTCCTTGGTGAGGTGTTCAAGGCACGTCAAACCAGGAGGAGACACATAGGGAGACCCAGGAAACGCTGGAGGGACTGTGTTTCTTGGCTGGCCTGTGAATACCTTGGGTTCCCTCCGGAGAAGTTGGCTCACGTGGCTGGACCTCCCTACTGAAGCTACCCCTATGACCCGACCGCGGATAAGTGGAAGAAGATGGATGGATGGATGAAAGCTAAAATACCTTTTATTTTGATTTTTTGAAGATATTCCTGCTACTTGATTTACCCCAATCCCATTTTTGACAGGCTCATTATTCCTTATGATTTCTGAATTACTGAGGCAATGGACAAATGTACATCCATTAAAAATGTAAATGATGTCAGTATAACATCTAATTTTTGAGAGGTTTTGTTTTAAATCAGGTTCAGCACTGGACAGGGCCTGTGGTGACTACACAGCAGGGCAGACAAGGTGCCAGCCATTTCAGCACTGGACAGGGCCTGTGGTGACTAC